TTCTTGATCTACCTTAAAAGTAAATTTTTTCATTGTTTATTATTGTATACACGTGGAATAAATTTTCCTTCACACTTCTGACTAAAATTACTATTTTTTCATCTACTTCAATGATTATAAATCTAAATCTAAAAATCCAGCAGTCTCGTGGCTATTCTATATATATATATATATATATATATTCATTTGATTTAGATGATCATCAGCTTATGATTAAGAGATTCTTAGAATTAATTCTTGAAACATAATGAGTATCTTCTATTGAAAGGCATGTATTTACTTGCATTTCCTGCAGAGAATTATTCTTATAAGTGTGATTACACGCTATAAATATGCGCGGGAGGTAAATATCTTCACTGTTATATACAAAAAAGGAACAATGAAAAATTTCACTTATTTCACATAATAAACTTTCTGCGTACACTCTTACTTTCCAGTTTCCATTAGGAGATTTTTAATTGCCTCGTATTCAGGGAGGCCATACATACTAGAAAGTTTTCTTAAGTTGAAAGTACTCAATTAGAACCCCCCTCAATTTGGCACAAAGGGCTAATTGAACTTTAAGAAAGATTTCTTTTGAATTAAGTATCTGCTAACTCAATTTACTTTTGCCTATGTATAAAATCATTTGAAACTCCCATTTTTTTTATTGTCTTGGAATTAATTTTTACAAATTTTTAACATTTTACTTTTTCGTCATTTCAGAGCACTATAATTATGTTATTAATTTTTTGTCCACTTTATTTAATTATATTTTTCATTAACTAATTTGAATTATGTTATTGATTTTCTTTCTGATTATTTTTAATTTATTATTATTTTTTATTTAGGAGAATAGAGGCCCTAACATAACCTCAAAACTAAAAATGGTTTTTAACGAATTTGCATTTAACATAATAGGCATTTTAAAGAATTTTTATTGGATAGAATTTTCATTTGTTCAAATTATTATTTGATATAATTTCCATATAACCGATTTTTCATACTACAGAATTTTTACTTAATCAAAAAATAATTTAGGTATAAGAATTTCTAATTGATAGAATTTTCATTTGTCCGAAATCTGCAAATGGCCGAACAGACAATCGATTTTGGCGCGATTTTTAAAATCAACCAATCAAAAATTATCCATTAAATTGTGATTGGTTGATTTTAAAAATCGCGCCAAAATCTTTCTGTCGATTGTTTGTTCGGACATTTGCAGATTTCGGACAAATGAAATTTCTATCAATTAGAAATTTTGTTAAATGATGTTTGGGTTAGGTAAAAATTCTGTAATATGAAAAATCGATTAAATGGAAATTTTATCAAATAATAATTCGAACAAATGAAAATTTATCTGAAAGAATAAAATGAAAATTCTATGCAATGAAATTCTACTGAATAAAAATTCTTTAAAATGCCTATTATGTTAAATAAAAATTCTGTGAAGTTAATTTTCGGTTATATAAAAATTTTGTAATATAAAAAATTTGTTTGATGAAAATTCTGCAAAATACTAATTCGAAAAAATATAAATTTGGTTAAAAGATTTTTTTCTTTTTTTTTTTTGATAAAAACTAAATTAAATATATGCATATTTATTTATTGAAAACAAATAAATGATTGAATATATATTACGTAAGTATAGGATTATATATATTGTAAAAATTCGGCCTCGATTAAACGCACCTTTAAAAAAATTTTATGTGAGCGATTTCAGAGCTTGTAACGGGTTTTACGTGCACGTAATATGCACATATACAACAGCATTACATTTAACAACGTCATACATTGAAGGCGTTAAATTCTTTGAGCCCTTTTTTATATTATATATATATATATATATATATATATATATATATATATATATATATATATATATATATATATATAAAGAAATTTATGGTCTAAACATAGTCACGAAAGAGTATATAAAGATAAAAAAAAGAGAGATCTGGTTTATTTTTAAATTAACCTTATAATTTTTCAGATTTTTCAATATATTAAATAATAGAATATCTTATTTCGTTTCAAATAATTTTATACCGGGTGATTTTTATGTTTCGGGCCATATAAAAAATTTTTTTAATCTTACTTTTTTCGTTTTTTAAACCAAAAAAAAATGTATTTTAAAAAAAAATTTTCGCGGGTCCAGAATATAAAAATCATCCTGGATATTTTTTTAATAATAATGTTTTGAACTAATAATGTTTTTCTTTTGTCAATTTTATGCACGATAATATCATAATATGATGAAATAATAGACGCAAATTCATCCATTACACAGCTTTCATGTTAAGGAAATTAATTTTCATTCATATTCATGATTGACAAATTTTCCTGTTACCATCTAATGATTCAAAGAATTCGTTAATTAGTATGTATTTTTCTCATTTCTAAGAGAAATAATATTGTACATCGATAAATTCTTCTTTCGTTAAATAATAATTCTAAAATTATTATTTTATTATTATCATTATTATTAATATTATTATTATTATTATTATTATTACTATTTTTAAATTTTGTTTTCTAAATTTTCCCCGATAAAGAGAGAGAAAAAAAAAAGAATATATCGTCAGAAAAAAAAATTTGTATCGTGATTTAAAATCAAATTAGGTGAGTTAATTCTTTTTGATCCTATTATATATATAGATGTGCGAAGACAAGTGTTTCAATACATTAGATCGTGTAATCTAATTTATAAGATTTTCTTTCGGCAAGTCAAGAATTACATTTTGTTGCTCGCGTAGGTCAAGTTAGGGTCGAATCGATTTCTAGAATGTACACTCTATTCACGAATAGAACTAATAGTAATCTGGGGAGGTCTTTATCTCTTAAGTAGCAATAAGAACTTCCGAATTTTGCTCTTGATTGAAATTTCATATTTGTTATAATAGAAATATTGAAATTTATTAATTGGATTTTTGTGAAAAATAATTTTTCTATTATAAAAAAGGTTTTTGACAAATTTTTCATAATTTTTCAAAAATATTTCATTATAATCTAATTACGGCCGCTATTATGTATATATTAATTATATATTATGTAGAATTTTTTTTTTTTTAGTTATATAAATATTAATTCAATTATTTGCTCACTATTTAGTTATAAATATTATTGTTATTTTGTATTATTATAATTCCAATTTGCTTATTACGTGTATATATATTGAAATTACAATAATGGAATTTTAATGAAAACTGCGGTTTAGAGAACGAATTTCTATAAACCTGTTAATTGAATAATTATATATTAAGTTCTGTTGCTGTGCATGATTGATCAGGATTAAATAATTGGACCTCTATATTGTATTTAAAATTAATTAACACACGCGTTCACTACAAAATTATCAAATTTGAGGGACGCATGATTATGTTCTAAAAATCATATGTTAGAATTTTCATTTTTTGAAATTTCATTTGTCATAATTATTTTTAAGACGAATTTTTATTTGTTCGAACTAGAATTTTGCAGAGAATTTTCATCAAAACGATTTTCTATATTACAGAACTTTTATATAACTGAAAATTTACTTCACATATAGTTTTTATTTGTTCGAATTTTTATTTGTCAGAATTTTTATTTACTCGAATTTTCATTTATAACATAATAGGCATTTTAAAGAATTTTTATTGGGTAGAATTTAATTGCATAGAATTTTTATTTTATATTACTAGCGCCTCCGACGGCCTTTGGCCGTTTCTGTTGCTTCTATTCTTTGTCCATTCAATTTAATTTTCAATTTATGTTTCATAATTTATTATATTTATTTTATTAAATATTTAATAATATTGTTAACAAAATGCAAAAAGTTATGCAATTATAGAGAAAGTTTCAAACAGAAAAATAATAATCTATATTATATTTGTAAAATTTGTCTAAAAATAATAATAATTGTTGAATAATTTTTTTTTAAACTAAAAACACTTTTTTATTCAAGGTAATATTATTTTCATAATAATTTAATTTATTACAATTATTTTATTATAATTTAATAAATTTCATTATTTTAAAAAAGCGCGCGCTATTTTGTCTTGGACCATTGAAGTGATTTGAACTAAATGTAGGTTATGTTCGTGTCTGATTCTTGACAGCTGCAAATATTTACAACAACTAAATGCTTTGCAAGTGTATATTTATTGCAATTAAGTAAGTTATGCAAAAAATGAATATTGATTTAGATGCTCTGAAAAGGAAAATTCATTTTTTCTTACATTCGATTTTTTCGACCATCGAGATATTTCGATACATTTTCATGTGCTTTGCATGCACTGTCTTTTTTAAGAAGAAAAAGGATTCTTATAGATGAATTTTTCATTTGTTCGAATTATTATTTGATATAATTTCCATATAACCGATTTTTCACACTACAAAATTTTTATTTAACCGAAAAATCATTTAACAAAGTTTCTAATTGATAGAATTTTCATTTGTCCGAAATTGCAAATGACCGAACAAATAATCGACAGAAAGATTTGGGCGCGATTTTTAAATTCCACTAATGAAAAATTATCCATAAAATTGTGATTGGTGGAATTTAAAAATCGCGCCGAAATCTTTCTATCGATTCTTTATTCGGCCTTTTGTAATTTCGGACAAATGAAATTTCTATCAATTAGAAACTCTGCTAAATGATTTTTCGGTTAAGTAAAAATTCTGTTTATTCTATGCAATGAAATTCTACTCAATAATAATTCTTTAAAATGTCTATTATGTTAAATGAAAATTTCTGCAAAATACTAATTTGAACAAATAAAAATTCAGCTGAAAAATAATTATGACAAATGAAATTCCATAAAATGAAAATTCTAACTTATGTTTTTTAGAACATAATCATGCTTCTAAAATTTTATTTCTGTGCGTAAATAATTTGTATACAGTATTTATAATATATTTTCATGTCTATAATTGAGAAATTATTCTGTATACAAAATTTTTATTGCGATTTATAATATTTTGAAATTTTTGAAATATTGTTAATATATGTAAATAATATTTTTTTTTTATTTCAACAGCGCAATGCATCGGAGAGTGGGACACAGCAACTATGATGGCAAAATCGCAGGACTTTACGATCTCGAGGAAACTCTTGGACGAGGTCACTTTGCCGTTGTCAAATTGGCTCGACATGTTTTCACTGGTGAAAAGGTTGCCGTCAAAGTCATCGATAAAAGCAAACTCGATGAAGTTTCCAGAGCACATCTTTTCCAAGAGGTGAGAGAGAGAGAGAGAGAGAGAGAGAGAGAGAATATAATCAATTTTCCTATTGTTATATATACCTATTCATTTTATCTTTATTATATTCTCGTAAAAGTTGCTTAATAATATATATATATATGTTCCAATATTGAGTTCAAGTGTGAATGACATTTTTATTTAAAAAAAAAAAAATTCTTAAAGAGAATAAGTCTAAAATTCTAAAAATTTTGAAATTTTGAATTTTTTTTTTATTTATGAAAAACGTGTTCAAAAACAAAAAATAAAAATCACAAATATTATCAACATAAAAGAAAAAAATTTAGTTTTTAATAATTTTTTGAAAATATATAATTTTTACTTATACTTTTTAAAATAAAATTATGTTTTTAAATATTGATAATTAAATAAAAATTATATTTTACCCAATATTTCATGAATAAATATTAGAAAATTTTTTATTTAAAATTGATAATTTTTACAGAAATCTAAAACATTTTCTATAATCTAATGTTTTCTTCTAATTAAACTTAAAAAAATTGAAATTATCAATGAAATTATTAATTATTATTATTAAATTTTTATTTATGCCTATATTTATTATTTATTAATTATATAAATTTATTTAATAATAATAATAATAATAATAATAATAATAATAATTAATAACGAATATTTCATAATAATAATAATGAAATATTTTCTAACTAATTTTGAATATTAAGAATTCAAAATATTTACTTTTTGCGACTTTTTATAATCTAATGTGACGAATGCAACTTCTTTTACGTCTTTAATTTGATCTGAGGTCTGTAATATTAATTAGATATTATCGTAAAAAAAAAATCTTAAAAATAAATTTAAGAAAAAATTAATTTTCAAATCAAAACTGAAGATATTTTTAATAAATATTAATTAACAAATTCACGATAAATTTTAGTTTACCTGTTTTCAATTTAATTAAATATTTGCAAATTTAATGTGTTGCAATAAATTTAATTATTATTTACTAACGTTTTATTATCTGCATTATTAATATTAAATTATTATTCGAAAATTTTAATTAATTTTCAGTATTTTTATGGCTTTAAATTTTATGTATATATATATGGCTATAGATAAAAAAAAGTACATAAACTCAAATTACTTTATCACAACATATATAATAAAATACGTTCATTTATAATTTTTGGGTCATTGTAAAATGTAATAACGTTTCACTCGTGCTCTCTATAATAAATCAGTCATAAATTTAACTAATATTTAAATGAGATAATCTTCATTCTAAATGTATATTTAAAGTCTATTTTTTTTTCTAAAGTTCCTTTAATATTTGAAAAATGAAGATTAAATTTTTATGGAATTTGTTTTTAAATGACAACAAAAAATAATTTATATTTTAATAAAAACAAATTAAATTCTTTTTAAAAACACGTTTAAAAATTGTATAAACATTTTTTTTTTACAAATTGTGCGATAATTTGGTACTTTGCGCACACTGTCATAAATATTGGCTTTTGTAATATATTTTAGAAATTTTTCTTTTATTTCACATATACACCTTCGTTCGCATGATTTACGGCAAAGCCGTTTCAAACCCATTTAACCTGTTAGAAGTTAATTGACTGTGAAATCGTGGCGATAGAACATCTTTTAATATATATTTTTTTTTCTTTTTTTTAATAATGAATTTTTACTGTGGCAAATTTTTTTTTTTTTTAAAGAAAAGTGACAAATTTTAAAAAATTGGAGGAAAACTATGTAGGAACTATGTAAAAACTATGTAGGTCATTCAACGGGAAAAAATGTTATTAAAAATTTTTTTTTTGCAGAAACATTTTCTTTTTGAAATCTACATGAAAAATAAGAAAATACGATTTTTTTGTTTTTTTTTTTATTTGATAAAAATGAAGGAAGTTTTATTTGTTCGAATTATTATTTGATATAATTTCCATATAACCGATTTTTCACACTACAGAATTTTTATTTAACCGAAAAATCATTTAGCAGAGTTTCTAATTGATAGAAATTTCATTTGTCCGAAATTACAAAAGGCCGAACAAAGAATCGATAGAAAGATTTCGGCGCGATTTTTAAATTCCACCAATCACAATTTTATGGATAATTTTTCATTGGTTGAATTTAAAAATCGCGCCGAAATCTTTCTGTAGATTATTTGTTCGGCCTTTTGTAATTTTGGACAAATGAAATTTCTATCAATTAGAAATTCTGTTAAATGATTTTTGGATTAAGTAAAAATTCTGTAATATGAAAAATCGATTATATGGAAATTCTATCAAATAATAATTCGAACAAATGAAAATACACCTGAAAAAAAATTCTATGCAATTAAATTCTACAAAATAAAAATTCTTTAAAATACCTAATATGTATGAACCAAAAGTTTTGAACGTTCAAATTAACCAAATTTTTTTTGCAACATCTTTAAGTATGAATTTTATTAAAAAAATTTGTTTTAAATATCTAAAAAGAAATTATTAATTTAATAATTGTTTAATTTACTATTTTATTTTACATTGACATCATAATTTTAAATAATTTATAGATTGAAAAAAAAATATTTCCTTCATTTGAACGTTCAGAACTTTTGGCTCATTAATATGTTATTAAATGAAAATTCTAGCAAATAAAAATTATGTAAATGAATTTTTGGTTATATAAAAATTCTATAAAATAGAAAATTGTTTAATGAATATTCTGCAAAATGCTTAATCTAACAAATAAAAATTCGGCTCAAAAATAATTATGACAAATGAAATTCCATAAAATGAAAATTCTTACTAATGATTTTTAAAACGTATTCATGCGTCCTATTATTCTTGAGTACATATTTGAAAAATTTGAGAATAAGTGAACAAATTTCATAGACAGCATAATTTTTTATTCAATAATACAATAGATTAAAAAATCTTTCAAAAATACATTGCCTTTGATGAAGTTAAATTTTAAAAAATCATATAACTTCCTTTATTTTTATTAAATAAAAAAATTTTAAAAATATGTATTTTCTTATTTTTCATATAGATTTCGAAAAAACATTGTTTTAGGCGCAAAAAAAATTTTTGAATCAAAATTTCCCGTAGAATGCCCCTAAATATAGAGTTGAAAAAAAGAAAAAAAAAATCTTCCTTATTCCTATCTGAAAATAGAAATTCAAGAAGTTTATCCTTGAATTTAAATGACATAACTGATAAAATGTGAACGTAAACACTTGAGTAATTTCTAGGTGAGATGCATGAAGCTCGTGCAACATCCGAACGTTGTACGACTTTACGAGGTGATAGACACACAAACGAAGTTGTACTTGATTCTTGAGCTTGGCGATGGCGGGGATCTCTATGACTACATCATGCGTCATGAAAGTGGACTCAGTGAAGAAGTATGTTAATTATAATTCTTCTTTTATACACACATATATATATTCATTAAAATAATCGCAAATTATTTATATTTATTTATATCTTTTATTTTTAGGTTGCCAGAACATATTTTCGTCAAATAGTACGAGCGATATCATACTGTCATCGATTACATGTGGTCCACAGGGACTTAAAACCTGAAAATGTTGTTTTTTTTGAAAAAGTAGGTACAGTGAAATTAACGGATTTTGGTTTTAGTAATCGATTTTGTCCTGGACAAAAATTGGAAACTTCTTGCGGTTCACTCGCTTATTCTGCACCTGAAATTCTATTGGGTGATAGTTACGATGCACCTGCCGTTGGTAAGTATTTTATTTTATTTTATTTATTTTTTTTTTTTTTTGTTGCTTTAAATTAACATAATTATCAATTTTGAGATATTTATTGACGATTTTTTTTATCTGCTTTGTTAATTACTAAATCTGCCGTGTTTTCTATAAACTTAGGTAACTGCAGAATGAAAGATTTCGAGAAAAACGCGAAAAACTGTTTAAACTTCATTGATATGTACCGCAAAGCCTAATTAAAAATTTTAAATGCCGTTTTGTTCCTTCGATTCGTCTAAATTTATTCTTTTTAATTATGTAAAAATAAATGTTGTATTTGTTTAAACATTCAATAAATTATTAAAAATGTAGTTACCGGTATGCTGATTCGAGGGTCGTCGCACGAGAAACTTAGGTAACTGGTAGTTACTTGGTCCCTCGTGCTACGAGCGCCCGTATTAGGCCTCTCGTCGCACAGAAAACTTAGGTAACTGCAGGGAATATATAAGAATTTTCATCTTTCTGGGCAAAAAATAGTAAAAATACATTAAATAATAAACTATAATTATTTAATAAGCTGCGAAAGTTGTCACTATAATTATTGTTTTTTACAAATATTTAATTTTATGGTTAAATTTATTTTAATTATACAATATTAGAGTCAAATATTGTATTAACTCAGAATATATTAAATAATAATATAAAATAAAATAAAATACATAAATAAAATTAAAAAAATAAATTAAATTAAATTAAAAAATAGTAAAAATATATTAAATAATTATATGAAATAAAATAAAAATAAATAAAAAAAATAATAAATAATAAAGTGTAATTATTTAATAAGATGCGAAAGTTATCATTATAATTATTGTTTTTTACAAATATTAAACTATATGATTGAATTTATTTTAATTATACAATATTAAAGTCAAATTATTGTAGGTAATGTAGTTCGCTGCTTTATTAACATTTATTTAAATAATTAACCTTCGCCGGACTGGATACTTTTTATATACACGGTTGACAAGATCCCACCCAGGGTGGGCCAAATGTTTTCTTCTTTGTATATTGCAATAAAAACTTAGAATCATTCAGTTTTTTTCCAAAATTGTTATATGTTACCAAATAATATATTTTATTAATGTTTTGTTGATTTTTTATTTGTTTAAACAATTTATTATTAATAATTTATAACTTTTTCAAATATACATACGACAGTAGAAGAATTTTATAAATTTGTTACCTTTTCTTCGTAGTTATTAATTCAAAGGTTATAAATAAAATAAAATGTATAATTCAATTTGCAACAACTATTATTATAAGTTGTTTAAACAAATAATTGTTGCTATTTATTAACATTCTTCATAATATTCCTAGAAAATTGCAATTTTTTCTAATTTTGCAACTTAACAAGCACAACATAATAACACAAAGATTTTATATCAATTTACTATTTAACCAATTGTTTAAACAAATAATTGTTGCTATTTATTAACTTTCTTTATAATGTTCCAAAAAAGTTGCAATTTTTTTCTAATTTTGCAACTTAACAAGCTCAACATACTAAACATGAAGATTTTATATGAATTTAGTATTCAAACGATTGTTTAAACAATTTATTGTTGTTATTTATTAACTTTCTTGTAGTGTACCTAGAAAGATGCAGTTTTTTCCTAATTTTGCAATTTATCAAACCGAATATAATATAGCCAGACAGATTTGACATAAATTTACTAATTTAACAATTGTTTAAACAATTGTTGAATTTACAATTTTACATCAAATCTATCTTTTATTATATTCGGCTTGATGAGTTGCAAAATTAGAAAAAAACGGCAACTTTCCAGGTGCCGTACAAAAAAAGTTAGTAAATAACAACAATAAATTGTTTAAACAATTGTTGAATTAATAATTTTACATCAAATCTATCTTTTATTATCTTCCGCTTGATAAATTGCAAAATTAGAAAAAAACTGCATCTTTGTGGGTGAGAACAAAAAAAGTTAATAAATAATAACAATAAATTGTTTAAACAAATGAAAAATGCAATATAATATTTTTTATATCTATTATTTGACATCATAAAACACTCACAGTGAAAAGTCTGCATGATTTCAAGTCTTTTTGTAAAATAGAATTAAAAAAATATCTGAATCATCCCGGTTATCTCCGTACATACATTGATAAAAGTTATAAATAATCAAGAAGAAATTTTTTTTAAAAATTTGTTTTTACATTTTTTGAAAGTTCTTAAGATTTTGTTCAGTGACTTAAAATTGCGATTCAATTAAGGCAAAACTTTAGAAGATATGGCAATTTCAATTTGTCTGGCCCACCCTGGGTGGGCATCTTGTCAAGCGAAGGTTAAAAACGATTTTAATTTTTTAAATAATTGAACTAAATTAATTATATATTAATCATGAAATAAACATATTACTGAACTTCATTTTCTTAATTTATTAATGCTTTTATGTTATTTATTAAAATTAATACTTAATTTTTCAATAATTGATAAATTATTATTTAGGTATAATTATATATATATATATATATATATATATATATATATATATATATATATATATAAATATATAGTATTGGAGTTTTTTATTTCATTATTTATTGTCATTATAAATTATTAATTGCACAAAAAACATTGTAATTTTAAAGAAATGTATAAGATTTTGCAGTTACTTGGTCCTTTAAAACACGGACCTCCTTTTTCGAGGCCTCGTCGCATAGAAAACTTAGGTAACTACAGTGCTCTGATAGCACTCTGTAGTTACCTAAGTTTTCCATGCGACGAGGGTTCGAAAAATGAGGTCCGTGTTTTGAGAAACTTAGGCACTGGTGCAGTTACCTAAGTTCTTCAAATCACGACCTACAAAATACGTCACAACACCCAAAGACACCCAAGTTTTTATAGCAGTTACCTAAGTTTCTCAAATTATCACTCATCAATTTTTGCAGTTACCGGTATTTTCAATTATTTATGCAAAAATTATTATTAATAATATTAACAATTTTTAAAAATAATTTGCATTAACAAGTGTATCTTTTTTCCACGATTCCAACGATATAAAAAACTCATTTTTCGATTTTTTTGCAGTTACCTAAGTTTTTAGAAAACACGGCAGAAATAACCTATAATATAGTCTTATTGATTGACATTGATGGAAATGTGAGTTATAATCTTGGTACTTATTGATTAGCTTCCACCTTCAACTTTACACATTTTTTTTTTACCTCTCTTTGAATAGTAATCGATTTTTTGTAATGTGTATATATATATGTTTCTTGTGAGGTATAATTTTGTGTTTGCACTTGACATTGGTGGGGGGGAGAAAAAATACTTGCTAAGATCAGGGACACTTGTTGGGTTAATTCCTACATTGAAAATTAATTTTTTTTTTTAGATTAACGATGTTCTTTTTTATAATTAATTCTTTATGTGCCTGAAGTTCTGAACGTTCAAATGAACGAAAAATTTGTTTATCACTGTTTTAACTTCAAATTTTATTATAAAATATTGGTTTCTGTATCCAAAAATACATGAATAATTTATTAAATTTTTAATAAACCTTTTTATTTTTATTAATGTAGTGATTTTTCAAAAATTTATTGACCAAAAAAAATTATTTTGTTCATTTGAACGTTCAGAATTTCATGTGTAAAAATCAAAATGTCCAGCGACCCTTAAAAATATTCGCTTTGAATTTTTTCTTTTTTTTTTGCCTTGAAAATATTTAAATCACTTTAAAATTTAAAATAAAATAGACACATTTTTTACAATTATTATTAGCACACAAATGTGTGAAAAAGTTTTGAAAATATATAAAAATAATTGAATTTTTCAAAATTAACAGGTTATATTTTTAGAATTAATTGAATTTTAGATAAAAATTTATAAATACTTCAATTTTAAACTAAAATTTTTTAAGAATAATTCAATTATCAAAGAATTTATTCAAAATTATAAAAATAATTAAGTTCTTTTTAAATAATAATAATTTGAATATTTTAAAACTCTTGAAAATATGTAATTTGAATTTTTCTGTATACAATGTTTGTTTAACATAATTTTCATTTGATCAAATTTTCATTCATCACAATTTTTTTTTTTTGAAATAGAATTCACATATTATAAAAGAGAAGAAAATTCAATAATGTCAGAGAAAAACACAAAATATAGCCTTCAAACTTAATTACTATTACAAATATATTAATCGACTTCAATTTATCTTAAGAATAATGAATTAATTTCATTGCGTGATTTAAAATAATTTCATGGCGTCAATCAATTTAATAATTAACTATTATTCAATAAATTAAATAAACGCGTATTTATGGAATTGAGAATTCGATAAAATTAGAAAAGAAAAATATTTAATTAAACAGAATACCTATAATAATATTAATTAAATATGAATATTATTAATATGTAATATAATATTTATTTCAAAGAAAATAACAAATGAACTGAATATCTATATTATTAATTTTATTACTGAATAATTAACAATTTACAATATGAAATAGATAGTTATTGTTCGAAAAGAATCCAATCAAGTTTCAATATTAAATTTAATTAAATTTTATAAATTCATTCGTTGCATAAGCATGTTACAAATAAATACAAAATTTTTTATAGATTTATTTAAAATGACTTGTGTTAGCAATACAATAAAAATTCAGCTCAAAAATAATTATGACACATGAAATTCCATATACATAATGAAAATTCTAACAAATGATTTTTAGAACATAGTATTACGATAAAAATGGTTTTATAAAAATTATATTTTTAATACTAATAATCTATTATTGTGCTCTATGAATTTGAAAAATATAGTATTAGAAAAATAAAGAAATCGTATTTTGACAGTTATTGAGAATATTTAAAATTTTCAGACATTTGGTCCCTTGGTGTCATTCTTTATATGCTGGTATGTGGTCAAGCGCCATTTCAGGAAGCGAATGACAGCGAAACTTTGACGATGATTATGGATTGCAAGTATTCGATACCATCGCATGTTTCCGAAGGTTGTAAAAAGCTTATTGCCCGAATGCTTGTGAGAGAACCGGAAGGGCGAGCAACTCTTGAGGAAATTGCTTCTGATCCATGGCTGTCAATTGGCTCAGATGCTGATCCTATTGAATCGTTACCGCTTATTTCGCGACAACAAGTTTCTGAGGAGCATCACAATTTTATAATAACCAAAATGGTCAACGGCAATATTGCAACCAAAGAAGAAATTACCGAGTGAGTTAGAAATTTTATTTTCAAAATCAGTAATAATTTTTGTTTTTTTTTTTTTTTTTAATAAATTTTTAATTACTTTATGAATTTTGAATTTATTATTCAATATAAATTTTGAATCATTGTTCTGTAAATTTTTAATTTTAAAATTGTGGAAAAATTGATTTATCTAATATATATATACTTTATCTATTTCTCTAAATAATTATGATATAAATTTTCTACTACTTTTTTTTGGCAATTTCATGCATACGAGAGAGAATATTTGCTTTAAAAATAACGTTCAAACATTTTTTTAATTAAAAACATGTTTTAATTGCTTTCGAGGTTTTCATGGTCGCAATAATAAATATAACATAACTCAATTACTTATTTCATTTTTTTAAATTCATTCAAAATAAATACCAACAATAATTGAAGTTACAAAACAATTTAAATATAAATTTAAATCAATTTTCAAAATAATTGTGCAGTTTTTCTCTGAATAAACTTAAATATTATTAAATTGCAAGATAATTCTATTTTATAATAAATTAAATTTACATAGTAATTAAAATCAAAATAACTAAATTTATAAAGTAATTAAATTTTTAAATAAATTAATCATATTTTATATGAATTAATAGTGAAAATTATTTAAAATCTTTTTTTTTAATTTTGCAAAACTAATTTTTCCCTTGACCTAATGTATTTAATTGATTTTTTTTTATGTAATCAAATTGTTGTTTAACAAAATTTGCGTTTTACCAAATTTTCATTACTTTTTTTTTCGTCATTTAATCAAACTGTTATTTCATAGAATTTTCAGTTGATCAAATTTTCCTTTAATCGATTTTCCTTACGACCCAATTTTCATGTAACCAAATTGTGATTTGATGTTTTTATCGATTTTTATTATGTCATGGAAATTGTATTACTAATTTTCTGACAATGATGAAATTTTGAAATAAAAAAAATTTGTAGAGACCAAATTTTTTTATTTTTTTATAAAATCATTTTTACAAAAATCAGTAAAATATTGAATTTTATTTCGTCAAATTTTTTAATGAACATCCCATTTGATTTTTCATGAAATATTTAATTTGAGAATAATTCATTGTGTTTATCGTTTCACTGGTTTCTCATATTACTCTCATGTACATATATGTACATGAGTTGAGAGAGTGTTATCTCTGTTTTATTAACTCTCCTGTCTTTCAGCGCCCTCGACAAGAACGAGTACAACCATATAACGGCCACTTATTTTTTGTTGGCTGAGAGAAAATTGCGAGCTCATCGACAGGAACAAGTCCAGAAAACGCGGCCCGAGTTATTGAACGTTTCTGGGAGGTATGTCGAAAGTGATTGATTCTTTTTGTTTCAATTTTTATGACACGATGCACTAATTCCACTTGTTATCGGTTATTTGTTCACTATGAATAGCAAACAAAATATATGACTAGAATTATTTGTTTTCTATAATTAAAATATATTGTAAAAAATTTAATTCAATTTTTTTTTTTATTGCAAGGATTAATTTAAATTCCTTTCTTTTTTCGTTGATTTACTTCTTTTTGTGGAGCTTTAATGATAATTTTAAATTTCAGTCATCTTGATGATCTTTCGACTGATGATTTTAACGTTAATCAAAATTCGTTGAGTAACGTTAATCAATCATTACTTAGTGTACCTCGCACTCCAGGAGATTTGCCACAGGTATTTATAAAATTTCAGGCCTCGGATTATACGACTTTTTCGAATTATCTTAATAAAATGTGACTTTTTTGACTTTTTTTTACATTTTTTTAAAAAAAATTTTTAAACAAAATATGTTTTTTTTAGTATACAATGCAGATCTTTTTTTTTCAATTATTTAACAAATTTTTAACTCATATTATTCACTAAATTAATTGTTTTTAATAATTTTAATGAAATTCTTTACAAATTCAATTATCATAAACTATTTTTCAATTACAATTTTTATGAAATTTAGTAATTGTTTATAATTTTTAGAAAAATTATCAAATAAAATTATCAAAAATTTTTAATTCAAAATCACTTGAAATTTAATTATTTGCAAAAATTTCAATTATTTTTAATGATTTTTATAATATTCTTCGAAAATTCAACTATCTGAAATCATTTTTCACTTAAAAAGTTTTCAAATTATTGTATTTTTGTCTGCAATTTCTAAAAAATATTTTAATAACAGAAATCATCAAAAATTTTAATTTAAAAAATCACTTGAATTTTAATTAATTTCAAAAATCTAAATTGTAATTCTTTGAAAATTCAATTACTTTTAGAAAATGTTATCCAAAATTATTTGATAAATTATTTTTAGTTCTGTAAAATTTAATTATTGTTTGAAAATTAACAAAATCTTTTGAAATTCAATTATTTTTAAAAATTTCAACTTTAACTCTTCCAAAAATTATTATTATTTAAAAATCTGTAAAACTTGATTAAGTATTGCCTGAAATTTTTTTTGACCATCAAAACTAAAAACTGTGACAAAATTTTTATTCGAATAAATTGCTTAAGGCCAGGTCCATTTTGTGTCAGCTGTTTCATTGAAACTTCAAAGGAACAGCTGACTTGACTTGGACCTGGCCTTAAATCAAACTTGAAGAAATTATAAAAAAAAGTTCTATTTTATTAAAATTTGAAAAATTTGTCTTACAATTAGTTCGATTCTAAAATATTCGAAACAAAATTTTTTTTGATAATATTTTTAAAGAATTATTCTCATTACAAAATTAATAAAATGAATTTAATATTTAATAATATTAATTATTTAAAGTAAAATATTCATGGCGCATGATTATCCCATGAAAATCATTAGCTAGAATTTTCATTTGTATAAATTTTATTTGACAGAATTTCTTTTTAGACAAATTTTCATTTTCTGAATTAGTATTTGGAGTTAATTTCTTTGAAAATAAAATTTTATTTAACATAATTTTTAGGTACTGAATTTTTATTTTAACAAATTTTTTTTTATACAACTTTAAATTTAAAAGAATTATAATTTCATCCAATTTTAATTCATCAAAATTCTCATTTAACAGAATTTTCATTATTCGAATTATTTAATGTCAGAATTTTTAATTTATCGAGTTTATCATTAAACAATTCGAATTAGAAAAATTTTGTTGAATGAGAATTCTGATAAATTAAAATTGGGTTAAATTATAATTCTTTCGTTGAATAAAAAGAAATTCGTTAAAATAAAAATTATGTTAAATAAAAATGCGGTTCCTAAAAATTAAGTTTAAATAAAATTTCGTTTACAAAGAATGTAACTCAAATGCTAATTTGAAAAATGAAAAGTCATCTATAAAAGAAATTTATACAAATGAAAATTTTAGTTAATTTTGATGGGATATTCATGCGCTTCAAATATTCATTAAGCAATTAAATTTTGTTAAAATAAAAAAAATCGCCTTTTTTTGGAATATAAATCGATTAAAATGACTTTTTTTGTGCCATAAAGTCGATCCGAGGTCTGTAAAATTATTTCCCTCTTTTTTGCGCAATTTTTTCTTAACTATTTTTTTTTTTTTATTAATTTTTCAACAGAATCTTCGTACGCGCAAATGTAGTATAGTACAAGAGGAAGACGATGAAGACGATGTGTCTTCATGCTCCGGTAGGGATGATCACGGAAGTAATTCAACATTGAATTCATTTAATCGACGTGGTTCGCGTTCAGAGGGGAAACTTTCGCACATATTACAAGAAAGATTAGCTCAGCTTCCTGAGAAACATAATGCTCTTAAGACTGTTGTTCATCACGCTCACGAGACTTCGGCATTCCGTGACGAAAGTATTAAGTCAAATAAAACTAAGGACAAAATGTTATCAACATTAGATCAAAAAATTCATCTAGATAGTAATGTAATCAGTAGTAACAAGAATGTAGAAAAATCGCCAATAATGATAAAAAGTAATCAAGTGGTGAATGTAAGTCCAAAAAATAAAATGAACACTGCATTAAGTACACATGTTGATAATACAATGAAAAGAACAATAGAAACACAAGAAACAAGGCCAAAATCAATGAACGATCATCATAATTTAAAGACAAGTCCAATACCAGCTAATAAATGGAAAATGGGATCTCAACATCGAGCATTTCTTTCTCAAGATGAAACGAATATATCAAAGGCGGATAATATTCATCAAGAGACAATGACTACGATACTTACAGATTCATCGACTGTACCATCACCATTACGTACAATAACTGCAATAACTGATAATCAAGTTCTATCACCTAAATATAAAACAATGCCATCTCCAATTAATACAAAAATCAATACCAAAAGTAGTAATCAACCATCGCAAATTACGTTGAAAGAAATATTGGAGGATGGCGATGCTGTCACAACAACGGGAACAACTAGTTTAGATAGTAGTACCTCGAAATCACGAGTTGTCAGAAAAACGGGATACGAGCAAAGGCGTAGTAAATTTCATAAAACAAGAACAACATCGTGTTCGAGTTCAGATGCAAGTGACGATGACAGTGAAAGTAGGAAAAAACGTGCGCAAAAACTTAGTGGTTCGGGAAAACCATTGCCACCGAGGCGCGATAGTCATGATGATTCGAGTGATTCACAAGATCCTGGTGGAAGTGGAGGAAGTGGTGGTGGCGGAGGTGGTGGACTTGGAAATGGTGAAAGAACACGTGAAACACCATCAACTGAACCAACTGGTAATGATAATGGTAGCGGTAGGGGAAATACAACGACGACGACAACAACAACAACGTCAACAACAAGTGGAACGCATCGATGCTCGGATAATCAGGGCGCTGTCTTTGGTCGTAGACATCGAGCTGGCCGACGAAGAGCTGGCGAGACACGGCTACGTGAGAGTCAATCATTGAATCGTATCACTGAAGTTCAAGAAGCTGAAGCACCTTATCACAGTCATTCGCATACACCACGAAATATTGGTTTTACTCAAAGCGTTGTCATGAGTCAACCGCCACGTATTGTGACAATGTCGCCGACAATTCCACAAACCTTTACCACTGTACAAAAGGCAAAATATTTTGGTGCAAGACTCTTGCAAGGTTGGTCATTGGGAAATAATAAAACGTCTTCGGAAAAAATGCAAGGATTAGGTGAGTTTTCTTTTTTTTTTTTTAATTATAGAATTAACAGGGTGTTCAGCGGATATAGAAATCCTTGAATTTAATTTTAAACTTGAATTTGATAACAAAATGCATTAAATTATTAAATTTTTCTAAAAAAAAAAATATTTATTGAGGGTGAAAATAATTTCTTATCACAATTGGATACGGAACTAACAAATTTGGTTTGTTGCAATAAAAATATTCATTCATTAAACTTTTTTGAAAATTCCTAAAATTTATTTATTTCTAGGTACAAACGGAACAAAGATCTCGATTTTTTACAATAAATTCTAATCTTTTTAAAATTCGAAAATTTTTTCGATTTTTTTTTCAACTTTTTATTATTAAAAATTTTTATTTTCAAAACGATTTTTTACATCAAATTTTTATTATTTTTTTTTTTGCGATTCTTAATGAGACAAAAGTTTTGAACATTCAAATGAACGAAATATTTTTTTCAATCTATAAATTATTAAAAATTATAATGGCAATGTAAAATAAAACTGTAAATTACACAATTATTAAATTAACCTTCAAAACTTTTGGCTCATGATTCATAAAATTTATATAAATTTAATTTTTTTGTAAATCCTAAAATTTATTTATTTAGTATTACAAACTGACTTAAAATTCTCAATTTTCCTGACAAATACTCCTTTCATTTTGTAAATTTCTAAAATTCCCAATTTTTCTGTCTAAAGTTTTTCTTATATTTCCTTAAAATAAAAAAATTTTAATTAATTAATAATTAATTTTAATTAATTTGTTCTTTAAAATTTATTTTGCAAATTGGCGTGTTTTTTTTCTTTCTCAATGGTTTTCCTTTAATTTTCTCAATCTTTTTAATTTTTTCATCAAATTCTTCTTTTATTTTAAAATTTCTTAAAATTTATTTATCATTTAATTTTTTAATTCTTAAACTGTTAAATGCAAGATATTTTGTTTAAGCAATTTTAAAAATATATAAAATTTTTTAATAATAATCAATTTTCTATTATTAATAATTAAAATAAAGTCGGGGAAATGGTTTCTTTATGCATTTTACTTGCAAATTATTCATTTTATATTTATTGAGAAAAACTAAAAAACAAAACTTTGTTTATTATAAATAAGAAATATTTTCACACAGTTTCAACGCCGAAAGTGAAATTTAAAAATTGAATTTTTATATAATAATATCATATATCTAATATTTGTTGTTTCGATTTAGCTAAAATTCAGTTTCTCTGGTTCAATTTTTGTGTTAAAAGTCGTAGAAAATTTATTCTTTTCAGTCTGTTTACGGAAAAATTTCAAAATATATTTAAAATTCCTTCTATTGTTTTTATATTAATAATTAAAAATAAAAGTAAATATAATATTTATAATTATTATTTATAATTATAATTATTTTCTACAAGAATCAGGATTGCCAAAAGTCAGGAGAAATTTTTTTGCCAGGGAAATTGGAAAAAATTTACAAAAAATGTTAATTATATATTTTCTGTTACGTCACGAAGCGGACGGAAAAATCTTTTCAGTCTATGATAAAAACAAAATTTGTTTTAGACAATCAAGCTGAAATCAAAAAAATAAATAAATAAAAACGTTTCCAATTTTTAAGAAATAATAATAAATTAAGAATTTTCACAATGAAAATTTCCAAATTATTGGATCGTAATTTATTTTTGATTTAAAAATTTGTTATGATTAATAAATTCTGAATTATTTATTAACTTATATTAAATTACGATTGATTGGAATTGAAAAATCAAATTTATTTATAATACTAAATAAATTTAAATATATACGTGATTTGAAAAACAATACAATTGAATTGCCAACAGGAATCACAGGAAACAAAAGCAGTGAGAAGCAGGAAAAACGAGAGACAACATCAGTGAAAGAGGAAGTTGATTGTAATAAAGAGAAACGTTTTGAGCGAAACGGAAGCGTTCCACAGCAGCCCATTGATTCTCGAGGTACATCCGTGCACAAAACTGATTGCAAAAGTAAACGAATGAAACTACTCAGTCGATATTTTGCTGTACACAAAAAGCTTTGCGTTCCTTTGCCGGGTCTATTTAATAAAGGAAGACTGTATAAAGCCAGATCATGTGGTAGCATTACACGTGACAAGGTAAATCCACCATCGCCAAAATCAATGCTTCTTTGTACCACAGTTGACGATAAATGGAAAGAACAACAAAGACAATGGTTCGAAGCTAAAAATCATCAACAACATCGTGGCAGTGATGGTGATATTAATCAGAATTTAGGACTTTCACATCTCGTTCAAGATAGAATTGTTGGTAAAAATTGTACTGGAATTCCCGCCGTCTGTCACATTCATTTAAGTGATGCTTCCAAGTGCTGTAGTCTTTGTTAGTCAGCAAAAAAAAAAAAAATTCACTTCTTGAAAATAAGACAACTCCAAATTTCAATTGCCATAGACTTTAAAAATCTTGGAGTTTAATTCTCGTAAGTGATTTTTCGTAAAAAAGAAAAAAAAAAAAAAAAAGTGTGAAAAAAATTTTCTCCGCCGATAGATTTCAATCATATAATATATATATATATATATAAATTCGCTCCACATGACTGAGCGAAAAAAAAAAATATTAAAAGCCTCGAATTTAATTTAGGGTAATGGCTAAACGATCCGTTTAAATAGACGATCGAACAATTGACTGAATCATTTTACATTTTTTTTTTTTTTTTTTGGGAATTTTTCCGCTTACTTTCTTTCTATTTTTATTTTGGTTGAAGAGAAATCTTTTGATTACTCTGTCAGCCGAACTATTTTTTTTTTTTTTATTTCACACACTCTGTTCGTTAGATCAGAGTTTTTGGCATTATAATGATAGTGATTTATAACTATTATTATTATTGTCAGAGAGCCACGATTATATCGTTGATTTATTTATTTCTTCGTAATAATGAAGGAAAAAAGAAATGGTATAATATTTCGGTGTATACCATTTTGTCACGATCGCTCCGTGGGATATGTATCTAGTCCGTGTGAACAAACCTGTATTAAATGTTGCAGAGTTTATTATATTATTATTAATAATAATAATAATGATAATAATAATATGATTAATAATAGATGCAGAATGTAGGAATATATTATATATATATTATTTTATTATATTTTTTTTTTATTATTACACATCATCTAATGATAACAATAGACCAGTTTCAATTAATTATTATTGTTTCGTGAAACTAAAACAAAATTTCTATTTAAGAGAAAATTTTGTTTCTAAACATTTTTTTAACGATCTCATTTTTTTCTTTTTTATTGGCATAATTTTTTTTTCGTATTTTATATTTAAGAAAATAGTTTTGTTCGGTTCGCAAAGTAAAAAAAAAAAAAAAAAAAAAAAAAGTTTTCACGCTTCAAATCCCCGTGCCTTGAAATATTATTTCTTTCTTTTCTTTTCTCTTATATCTCTTTTTTTAAAACGACGATGACACCTCGCAAGGACATTTAATGTAATGTGTATATGTGTCTAATTTTCTCAATTGTCTTTGGTTTCGAGTTCGAAAAAAAAGAAAAAAAAATTGATTAATAAAAGTAGTTGTAAAACAAATAAAAGTAAAAAAAAAAAAAAAATGTACACCGGCCACGGAAAAAAAACCGCAAGTAATATTATTATTAACTGAAGAAAGAGAAAGCACGCTGGTGCGCGCATAACGACAAAAGAGAATTAGTAATTAAATTATATCGTATTTGATAATTTGTTCACATTGCTCGGTTGAAAAAAAAAAAAATCTTCACTGGTGACGAGTAATTTTCCCTCAAGTTATAATTTTTTTTAATTAATTAATACGTTACAAAAATGACTATAGATATTTATTAATTATTGATATTTTATAATTTATATCGGCTCGAGTTGATTGTATTTGAATCTCAAGAGAATTTTTTTTTTTTTTTATATCTATTTTATAACATTTTTTTTTCTCATTAAAAATGTGAATAAAATTGATAATTTAATGATTGTAATTAAAATGTTTTTAAATATATATTTAAGAGCTATATAATTTAAGGAAAAATTTTCAAATTATCTGAAAATTTGATATTTTTTTTCGCTTTTTTGGAGCGACATTGTTAGTTCAATTTAAAAAAAAAAAATCACCAGTGGAGGTTTAATCTTCATGAAAGAAAAAAAAAACCAATGCCATCATCGTTGTTACCTGATAAAAACAACTTTTTAATTTTTGTTTTTCTTTTTTGAATTATATAACAGTTCTCCCGTAAAACATTTTTAAAAAATTAATTATACGTAGGTATATATATATATATATTTGTAGAATATCAAAGACATTGATTAATTTAACAAATATAATAATAACGACTGATCCCACGGATTGGATCGAGTGCACAAGAAATTAAGCTTTGATTCGGTCTTTGGAAGGCTTTTTTCTCAATATATACAAAGTTTCAAAAACTTTGTGCCAAGTTTTTTAATTTTTAATTGAAACATGAATTAAATATTTAAAAAACAAAATCTATGAGAATCTGTGTAAAATAGAGAATTATTAAAGAAAAATTTGTTATAATTGTTTCTGTAATATTTATCCGTTCTGAAAAAAAAATTCATATTTTCAGTTCATTGCTATTTTTTTATAATATCAAAAGTTTATTAATTAGTTACAAAAAATTACAATTTTTGAATAGATTATAAATAAATGCATGTTTCTATTATTTCAGATTGTTTTTTTTTTTAATTTGTTTTTGCAATAAAATTTGATGCAATGAATTAAAAATTCAAGATCCTATTGAATTAATTGTTGCAATATTGTTATTTCTATTCATAGAATTCGTTGAAATGAATTTTAATCAATAAAATATTGAAATTTATATACATATATATGACTTAGAGAATAAAAAATATTTTTTAAGGCAATCATTTATTTATTGACTAGAGTTTAATAAAGTTCTAAGATAATAAAAGTTTTGGGCATTAAACTCTTATGAATAACGCAGTTTTAAATAAATATATAAAACGTTGGCATTAAAGTTTATTCTAATTTTGAACTTTCAATGACCGAACAAAATATATAATAATTTTTAATTAGGTTTCATATATAAAATAAAAAAAAATTGAGCGTTAATTTTAGTGGATAAAAAAAATAATTTTTTCACTTTTTTTTATCGGTAAATATATATATATATTTCAAACGATATATTTCATATCCCTTGCATGGTCCAAGGATGTTTATATGTACCTAAGTCGACTGTACGATTCTTTGTACATGTATTACCCGAGCCAGACGTTTATATATAAGTAATACAACATTTATTTATTATAAAAATACAGAGAGAAGGTATTTTCTCACTCTTTATTATTATTTTTTTTTTAATAAGCTTTTTTCAATCTTTTTACCTTTTTTTTTTCTTCACAATAGGCACAATATTTGGAAAAAAATTAAAATACTATTTTTATAGTTTCTTTAAATAATTTTTTTTTATCTGTAAACATTTTTTCTTTACAAGACACATCTACCCTTAAACGCACAACTTTTTATACACTGCACAAAAAAAAATTAATTTTTATATATATATATATATATATATATATATACGTTTACAATAAAAAATATTTAATTCACGAAAAAATTCTTTTTTTCTTATTTTCCATGCCAAAATATTATATCCTTTAATTATTTGTAAATATAATAATAATAAGTTTTCTCGGTTTTATTTTTATTTTTAAACTTTTGTAGTTTTTCCATCTAGTAATTTTAAAAATAATTTTTTCATGATATTTTTGATAAATATTTTTTACACATATTTATTTAGAATATAATGAGAAAATTATTTTAAAATAATAATTTTTAATTTTATAAAAATAACATAAGATCAACAAAAATTTAAACAAGAATATTTTTTCGTGAATTAAAATTTAAATTATGATTTCGTATGAATTATATACATAATAAATAAAATGAGATTGCTCAAAAACGTCTTTTAAAATTATAATTTACAAAAAAAAGCGATAAAAGTTAGTCTTGATTTTAAAATTTGAATAGAATTATGTAAAAACTTTTTCAATGTCGTAAATTAACTTTCGTTCATATTGAAGTGTAAACAAATTAAAATAATATTTTTGAAATTAAATAATTAAAATTTTACTATGAAATTATATATTATTATTTTGGAATAGGACAAAATACATGTTATGCGTCTAAGGGTTTTCTTTTTAAACAGTATTTATTTTCGGCACAATTAAAATTAATTAGTCTGAAAAGTTGATTTTGTCAAAGTATTACAATAATATTAAAATAAAATTCTTTATATTCGTCAACTAAATATAAAAATTTAACACAAAACAATATTAATAGTTTACTCTTGAAAATCCTTTTCTAAATACAGTAAATATTGTAAAAATAGAATTTATAAAACAAAAAATCTATGAAAAACTTGATATTACAAAGTACTTCAAATTTTCTTGAAATTTTTATTGTCAATCATCTAATTGTAAGTGTGGCCTAATTTAACTTTATACTGGAAGTACACTGAACAAAATATGGTGCCATAATTATATCCCAAATAATTGTGATCATTATTTTTTGGTTTTTATTCAAATTTTCTATTGTATTCATTTTTATTATTATTTTCCTTATTTTTTTAAAAATTTTTTTTTCTATTTATTTATATTTAGAATCATTTGCACAAAGTAGCAACAATTTTGTATATGACCGCGTTACTGACATATATATATATATATAATTATAAAATGTATTGTACCCCAAAAACAAAAAGCGAGAAAAAAAATTTGATAGAAAATATCAAAAAAAAAAAAAAGAAAAAAAAACGAATCAATCACAACTAAGACCAAAAAAAATTAAATGGTCATCGAATTGTTATCTGTGATTGATTTTGAATTCGCAAGGGACTTTACAATTATTAAAAAGTATTTCTTGGGTGATGAGGAACAACAAATATTATTGTTATTTGTAGAAAACTTGCAGCTAACGAGCCAAAAAGCCTTGCAATTCCTGCGTTGAATTTGCGTTTCTTGACTTATGTATTAAAACCAAGTGGTTCGTCTAATATGAAATACTGCTTGCCGGCAAGTATATATAAATATTTAAATATATAAATAAATATTTAAAATTGATGAGCAGTTAATTTTTTTTAGCTGATATATTGTTTCTTCTTCTTTTTTTATAGTCGGGGAAAAAAAAATTGAACACACAGTAAATCCAATTTTTATGTTTTTTAATTATTTATAATATTCACTATTTATTAATATGTATTTTAATTTAACTATTAGTTTATATTTTTAATTCAAATGAATTTAAAATTTGTGTGTTCAATTTCCTTTTTGAGTTTTAATTATAACCTAAATCTTATTTTTTCTTAAGAGTGTTCAATAACCGTCTCTTGAAATTCTTTGGCATTTAATTATCGCCCTATAAAAACGACACTGAACGTGAAAATTATGATAAACATTGATTTTAAAACACTTTTTTATCGAATTATAGAAACTTTTTTATAAAATCCGCCAACGTACTAAGATTTCTTATCTTATAAATTTCCTAAATCCGAAAGAATATTATTTATTCTCCACTATTTTCAGTGTATTAAAATCAATAATGCCTGCACTAAATTTTCTGTTTTTATAAGAAATTATATTGAAAGGGATATTTTGTATTAATATTAAAATGAACAATTTAACTGCTAAGTAGGGTGGGGGGGGGGGAAATACAACATGACGATGATTAAAATTTTTATAGCGGGAAATCATATATTGTAAAACTTGTGAAAAGTGTACAATGAAGAAAATAAATCTATCTATCCTAAATCCGAAAGATTTTTCGAATCCAGACAGAAACGCGATCGCAAAATTGGAAATAGGAAAATAGTAATAATAATGATAGCTTCATATTACGTCCTGCCGCCATTAGATGGCAGAAGTATGCAAGGAGTTTATATTCGCAGCTGTCATTAAACTGATTACTTTCTTATTTCCAATTTTGCGATCCCGTTTCTGTCTAGATTCGAAAAATCTTTGGGATTTAGGAAATTTATAAGATAAGAAATCTTGATACGTTGGCCGATTTTATAAAAAAGTGTCCATAATTCGAGAAAAAAGTGTTTTCAAATCAATGTTTTTTTTAATTTTCACGTTCAGTGCCGTTTTTATAGGGCGATAATTAAAGGTTCTTCTTTGCCAAAAAATTTCAGAGACCGTTGAACACTCTTAAGGGTATGTGGGCAAAGGACGTTTTTTCGTGTGTTGAAACTTTCTCTGAAATAAAAAATGATTTCTTGTTAAAATTTTGGAGAAATGATTTTGTTTGGTACAAGGAATCTCGTTGTTCTACTCATTTAATATAACGTAACGCAAAAATAATAAAAATAAAGCAATCAATAGTAAAATAATGTGTTTTATCATAGTTCACTCAGCGGCCACTCGCTCGAATTGGCGTTGTTTTCTGGAGCACTGACACACTCAAGCAACGTCTGTGTATGCGCCGCCATCTTTGTTTTCATTTTCCTTTAAAAATGTCACTTTTTAAACTTAATTTTTTAATAATTTAACGCAAAATTATGTATTTTTCGGAGAACAGCGAGATTCCTTTAACCCAAATCTATCATCCCTCAAAATTTTAGACAAAAATCTTTTCTCATTTTAGAGTGAAATGTATACTACCAAAACACATTTTCCCATACTAGGTCATGTGGGAGGTTCCCACATACCCCTAAGGAGAATGGAGGACCGAACATAACCTCAAAAGTAAATTAATTTCAAACAATTTTAGAACATAGTTATATACTCTTTTCGTAAAAAATTATGTAGATTTAAAATCTTTTTTCTAACACACGCACCGAAAGTACACCATTTTTTACCTGTAAAGGGGGAGAAAAGCATGTCTTTCCTGGCGAGCGGGAGAGAAAGTTACTTTCCCTCCCGCTGACGTCACTGATAGGGAGGAAAAGTACATTCCCTCCCTGTGACGTCACTAGCAGGGAGGGAATGTAACTTTCCCCCGTAACGTCAATTTTTATTTCTGTTGTTTATACAACATTAAGAAGAACAAGAACAGCATATTATTGAATTTACTGTCAAACTATGGATTCGAAATATCGAGTTTAAGTTTAATGTTGATATTTCGATATATCGAATCTAATTTAAAATCGATAATCACGTAAACAATAGTGTACACTTTCTCCGCTTGGCGTCTCTGTACGTTTGTTGTCATATGTACTTTCGGTATGTGTGTTAGAGGAAAATGATTTCCGTCTCGTGTATTTGCGGAAATCAACCATTTTCCTCCCTAGATGCACAATATACTATTATTAAGTAATTATTTTCTTAACATTGTGTCTTTTTTCTTTCAGAACAGACAAAAATCTCGCAATTTTTATCCAAATTTTATAAACTATAGCTTATGTTATTGAGTTTTGAGGTTATGTTAGCTTTTCCCCCTTAATAAAATGGTTGAATCTGGTGCACCGGAAAAAAAGAAATGTGATTTTACATGCTGTGTATGCGAGGAAAAAAACCTATTCTGTGTATGTCGTTTTTACAGAAATTTTGTAATTTTACTTTCTACAGAACGGTAAAATTACAGAATAATATTGTAAAATTACGCTACTGAGAAGAGTAACTTTACATAAAACTTTAAATTCACAATGATCTGTAAAATTACATGTTTTGTATGCGAGGAAAAAAACCATAGCCCAGCAGAGTGAATTCACATTCGGGTTGAAATTGAACAGTGCTATGTAAAATCGCTCTTCACAGTACTGTGAATTTACAGCATCTTGTGTTTCTAACCTCAAAATCATAAATATTGTCATGCTGAGTGCAGTAAAATCACATAATCTTGTAAAATAATTTTTACAGAACCGTGTAATTATACTGTTCGAACAGTTAAATTCAGAACTTTTTTTTTACAGTGTGAATATAACTTGAAAAAGTTGAAAGATTAAAATTTTTTTAATATTATTACTGAAATTATTATTACAATTATATAATATAATGGACGTAGAAAAATATTAATGTGCGTGTCAAGTGAAATAGAAAGCAAATAATGCTTATCTATATATCGTACATTATAATATATAAAAATATATATCATACCTCGTTGCTAATTGTTATAAAAAAAACTTAAATCTACCGTAAACATTTTATTGTAGATCGAATATTGAACGAAATAACAATATTTTATTCTTTTATCAACAGGGTGGCATCATGATCAGAAAAAAGACGAAATTTTTTTGTCAAAACCAGGAATTGTAATGATATTTTTATTAAATATCAAATTTATTTACTTGGTATTATAACTATGTAATATTATTTTAAATTAGCGGCAAAAATTTATTTTTCTTAAAAATAAACCACATAAATACACTCGTGGACAGATATGCTTACCCATTTTTGTCTTTTTCTAACTCACGTGTTGTCATGGCAACACGTGTGTTAGAAAAGGACAAATATGTGTAAGCATATCTGGCCACGAGTGTACATAAAGACTTTTTGGAAACTTTACAACACCTTACACAGCAAGATTAGAAATATTGAATGTTCTAAACTTATGTTATCAAAATTTTTTAAGGTTATGTGATTGTTGTGATTTCACATATTTAAATATTCTCCGTAGGTTTTCTTCTAAAATATTTCAATAGATTGAGCTAAAATTTTGTGGAGAATTCTAAAATAGTATATAAGGAATCGCTGTTATGTGCCAGAGTATTAATAAATTGTTAAAAAATTTATATTTAAATAATTACATATATTGGAGGAAAATTCAATATGGCAACAATAGGATTGCAGTTAGCAAATATGTAATTATATTTAAAATAAATTTTTTAACAAAACATTAATATAATCTGGCACATGACAACGAATCTTTATATTATTTTTAAGTCCTCCATAAAATTTTACCTCAATCTATCAAGTATTTTGTGAGAAAACCTTTGGAGAATATTTTACATGGGAAATCACAACAATCACGTGATCTTAAGGGGGGAACACCAGTTGTAACTCAAAAAATAATGCTTTTTTCAAGAATATTTTCCAAAAGAACAATGAATCTTTTTAAAGAATACTATTTATTAGTTAAAAGTACATGTAAAAAGCTGTAATTTAAAAGAAAAAAAAAATTTTTTTAACAAAAACTTTTGGAGATATGAGCCATTGAAGTGGCGTCTTAAGAAAAAAGGCGAATTGCGGTGACCAGCATTCTGCAAGTATACTTCGTCTGAAATACAAAAATGAAATTGATTTACATTTATTATAAGATTATCTAGTTCGTGATCGAAGGATTTAAAAAAAAAAAAAAATTTGACAAAATGGCGACCTGTCAAAGTCAAAAGTATGATTTTCGTTAAAAAAATACGGTCGATTTTCAGCTATATAAAAAAAAGTTTTGCATAAAAAAAAAAATCCTTCGATCACGAACTAGACTTATATGTGTAAATGAAGCACACTAAATTTTAAATAAATCGGTTTAATGGTATTCGAGTAATCGTGGTCACCGACTTGGAAAATGTCATTTTGAGAAAAACGCATTCAAAGTTTCAACTTACTTTTTTTTGTTCAGAAGAAATTTTGTTTCCAAGTTACAAAGAGTCATCGATTCTTGGACCATATAATAACTCTTCCGCAGTGGTTGCCGTTTCTAAATCATAGGAAAAGGCCATCTGTCGTTAGGGTCAGTTATGGCTGGCCACCTTGTATGAAGCCACGGGACGCGCCGATGCAGTGTTCTGTATATCTCATTTATTTTTCACCGGATCAACTTTGAAATTTACAGACACATTTCTAAATATGTGTACTTTAAGAAAATGCACAAAAAAAAAAATTGATTTTTCGAAAGTTACAACTGGTGTTCCCCCCTTAACCCATTAACGACCGCCAGGACGAAAAATTTACCTTCACTTAGCAGCTGTTATTCTATATGAAAAAATAATTTAAAAAATGCAGGATAGCCCATTTCTAACGTAAAATTTATCGTTCTTTTCGATTCTGAAGTCCAAATTTAATTATAATTAAATCCTTAATATTTATAACAATTTTATTGCAAAAAAAAACATGATTTTCTGCAAAAAAATTTTTATTCAAAAAATATTTTGACATGGAAAACGACAGTTAATTTGCTCCGGAACCCAAAATATCGCGTCCTCAAATACCCAGTTACAAAACTGTATAGTTGCGAATTTCAAAATTTAAGATGGCGGACGACAAAATTGCGATTTTCCACTAAAAAAGACTTAAAAAACACTATTTTGCAAAAAATAATATATTGATGAATTATTTTTATTTCTGCACCATATACTTATGTGTTTTGGGTCACTAAACATGAATACGGTATAAGTTTTCAAAAATTCAAAATGGCGGATCCAATATGGCGGACAATTTTTTCAAAAACTCAATGGATTTATCTGAAATTTGTTACTCGGGGGTTTTTGCGGTCGCCGGTTACGAATCTGAAGTTACTTTTCAATAATTCAACATGGCGGATCCGAAATAGCCTACAAATTTTAACCCTGCAGAAAATCCTTTAAAGTACGCGTCTCTTTAGAAATTTTTATCAAAAATGTTAAACAATTTGATTATTTTAGTACTCCTTTGACGGTAGAAATGGTGAAATTTTATGGTCACACAGTAATAAAATAGTAGATCAGTAATAAAAAATGTGTTCGATTTCAATATAAAGTGAAGTAATTCGAAATCAACGACCCCAAAAACTCAATAAGTATTGATATCAATATTTCTAACGTCCCTGTGTAAAGTATAAGTAAAATGATATTTAATATTTAAAAAAAAAATAATAATTTCAAAGTTATTTTAATTGTGTCAATACAATTTTGGAATTATTTTTATACCTGCATCCCGAGCTGTGTGTTTATAATATTCAAGTTGAAAAGGGGTGCCCTAAGCCGAAGGTCATAAACAAATGGGCGGATTGAAAATTCCAAAAATAATTAAATCAGTTGCAATTCGTGTATTGACCTGTTTAGACGCGTTGCCAACGGGAGTGTAAATTTTATAATTATAAATACTCTATGCAAATATATTTCCTTTATCGTATCTTCGAGAGTGTTTAAATCATTTTAGTAATTTTAGTAAATTTTTGTTCCGGGAGTGTACGAAATTCTTAAAATTGCAATCGTTTAAATTTTTTAGAAAAAGTATTTTGTTTTTATTTAATTAAAACGTGATTTCGGGAGTGTTCGAAAATTTTTAAATCGCGTGTGTTTCCATCACATCTCATCGTTCAAAATTTTTATGATGCATCGGTTACAGACTAAGGTAGAAGATACATTTCTTTATAAATCATAATTACATTTTGTTTTTTGTTTTTTGTTAGTAGTATACATTTTTTATGTACCTGAAAAACGCGGGATTTCTTTTTTTTAAGTTTTAATAGCCACCCTGTAATAAAAAGTGAACAATTCGCAATGTTCATTTTTTTTACAATAAAAACTTAATAATTCTAAATCACTCTATAAAATTAAATGTTAAAAAATAAAAAGTTTTCTAATGAATTTTGTTCTTGAATAATGGAAATATTTATCTTTATCACACATTCAACATTTTTCTTATATTTCTATAACAATATTAGTTAAAAAGCTGAAAAATCAGTCGAGCTTTAAAGCAGTCTTTGCAATAAGAAAAAGCATTTTTAAAATGTTTTCTTTTAATTAAATTGACTTTTTTTTCATTATGTAAATAATCTTTTTTTTTTTTTTTTTGGAAGCTTACAAACGATTATTTTAACAAAGTATAAATTTTAGGGCAAAATATGAGAAATTTTTGTTTTTCTTTTTGCTTTTAAAACAATTGGAAAAAATTTAAGGCATTAATTTTCCATTTACTAGACATTAGAGTGGTTTAAAAAATTTTAATTCCTTTGTTATTACTTTCTAATTTATTAAAATTAGAGAGCTAAGTTCTGACATCTTTTTTTTCATTTTTTTAAACCACTCTACTATTGAAATAAATATTTGTTTTTGACTCTTAAAACTACATTTTATATATTTAGGATCTCCAAATTTAACTGCGGATGAAGTCGAAAATGTTAAAATATAATTCTTAACAAAAATACTGGTCATCTGAATCTTCTTATATATAATTTAAATATAAATATATACCTATATATAGAAAATTGTTCTGTCAAACGAATCTCTAAGCAAATTTACAAATTCTTTGTAAATTATAAATTTACAATTTTAGACATTGTAAATAGAAAATGTACTTTTCTTTTTCGTTTTAAGGTATATGAAAATTATTTGCAATTTTTGCAAAAATATTAATTTACGAGGTAGATGCTTGTCGTTCTTCTAACACTTTTAATGCTTTTTTACTATTTTCAACGAATTCCTGAAAAAAAATAAATTAATTTTTATTCATTAATATCTTAAACTGACAATTTCACATGAAATAATTTTCACTTAGTTCAAAATATTTAATAATTATTTTTTTACCATTAAACCACGACTCATGTAATATGGACGATTAATTCCATCATTCTTTGCACAATCTTCACAGAAACAAATGAAAATAGTATCAATCACCATCTGTTGAATAAACATGTTTTTTTAATTATTAATTTCTTAAATACATTTAATGAAAAATATAGTAAATAGGATCAGTTGGGATAAATGGGGACAAAATCGCTATTTTTCACAAATTACTTAAGTTTCTTCCTTTAAAATGTAATATTTGCGGGTTTATTTTTTTTTTAAGTTGTTATTTACATTCCTAGGATTAATTTTATGCAGCAGAAAAAAATTTAGATAAGCTTTAAACGCATGAAACTGACTGTCCACATTTACCCCAAAAATTAAGAAAATTTCATAAAATTCGGGGTAAATGGGGACAACATAGTTTCTAAGAAAGTTTTAAGAAAAAAGTTTCCTTAAGTATCTTACTGTATTAAGGGATGAAAAAACTTGAAAAAAATTAGTAGTATTAATAGTATTAATAGTAGTAACTATTATATAATAGTTGAACCAATTGAAATTTTTTTATTTTTTTTTATTTCAGTATTTTGTCTCGCATTTGAAAAAAAACAGACTTAAAAATCATATCAAATTTTTTTCTTATTCCTTATGACCCCAACTGACCGTAAATCTTTTTATATTTGGGATAAATGATAAATATATCTATTTTTTTCATTGTTCTTTTTGGGTCGGTATCATATTGACACAATTTTTTTGTGAAAATTTTTATATTGTATAACCAGTGATGATATTATTTTGATCCAAAATGTTATATTGTAATATTGTTATATTTAACTTTAAATTTACTTTTAATTTCCAGTTGTTAAGAATAACATTTTGGATTTTAATAGTTGTAAAAAATAACATTATTTATGGTTATACAAAATATAACAATTTTCACAAAAAAATTTGTGTCAATATGATACCGATCAAAATTATTAGTTAGAATTTTCATTTTATGGAATTTCATTTGTGATAATTATTTTTGTGCCGAATCTTTGTTTGTTTGAATTAGTATTTTGCAGAATTTTCATCAAAAAGATTTTCTATATAACAGAATTTTTATATACTGGAAATTCACTTTACAGAAGTTTTATTTGTTCGAATTTGCATTTAACATAATAGGCATTTTAAAGAATTTTTTATTTGTTCGAATTATTATTTGATATAATTTCCATATAACCAATTTTTTATTCTACCGAATTTTCACTTAACCATAAAATCATTTAACATAATTTCTAATTGATAGAATTTTCATTTGTCCAAAATCTGCAAATGTCCGAACCTGTTCCTAAAGCAAATTTTAACGCTGAATTCGAATCCACAGTCCGTTTTTTTACTACACGTCAGGTTTTTGAGATAATTGCAATTTTTAATTTTTGATGCTTTTAACAAAATTGTTATTGTTAATTAAACTATATTACTTATAAAAAAGTCATAACTTTGATCAAGGTTTTTGGGGTCGTTGATGACGAATCTGGCATTAGATTTTTAAAATTTTTAATGGAGGATCCAATTGGGCGGATGAAAAAATTAAAAATTAATTGGACTTGCTTAAAACTTGTTACTCGGGGGGTTTTTGAGGTCGCTGATTACGAATTTGACATCAGATTTTTAAACGAGTTTTAAGCTAATCCGATCAATAATGGATTCGAATTCAACATAAAAAATTTGGTTAAGAAACGCTCTTGTTTTTCTGGGACCAAAAGTTGACCCGAATTTGTAAACCTGTGTAATTTTTGATTGGTTGATTTTAAAAATCGCACCGAAATCTTTTTGTCGTTGTTTGTTCGGACAAATGAAAATTCTATCAATTATAAATTATGTTAAATGATTTTACGGTTAACTAAAAATTCGGTAGTATAAAAAATTGGTTATATGGAAATTGTATCAAATAATAATTCGAACAAATAAAAAATTCTTTAAAATGCCTATTATGTTAAATGAAAATTCGAGCAAATAAAAATTGGAAAAAATAAAAATTCTGTGAAGTGAATTTTCGGTTATATAAAAATTGTGTAATATAGAAAATCGGTTTGATGAAAATTCTACAAAATACTAATTAGAACAAATAAAAATTCGGCTCGAAAATAATTATGACAAATGAAATTCCATAAAATGAAAATTCTAAATAATGATTTAGTTAGTTATATTAACTATTTAATTTTATTAATTAGTTAAGAAAATTGAAAGATATATTTACCTCATAAATTGAAATGAAAACGTGCGCAATTACGTAGGCAAAAATTCCTGCAATTAAAATCGGTACCCACGGATGTTGAAGATTTGGTTTTTTCTAAAGAAAAAATTAATATAAATATTTAAAAATCCGACTGAAAATAATATCCAAGTTTAAAAATACTGTACACACCTGCATTAAATAAATTCCGGCAACAACAGTGAGTGCGACAACGAGAACTTTTCCTAAGAAAAGAACAAAATCTCCGACACTATTAATAGCCGCCACTCGAAGAATGTTACTTGATAATGCTTGAAAAGCTTTTCTTCCTCCAGTGCAAAAACTGCATCCGTAAATTGCTAAAATGAGGATATTTCAATTATTATTAATTGTATAATATTTATTTATTTTTGCATTTAATAAATTATTTAAAATTATATTTTGTACCTGTTTCAATGTATGCATTTCTGGTAAGGAATTTTAAAGCACATTCGAAACACCATAAACAACAATGACAACACCAAAGTATACCTTTAGTGCAATCATTGTCATATTTTTTAAGTTTCTTTTGCACAGAAGCCAACATAGTTCTCAATAATCTAACGATTCCAATTATCATTGCGCCAAATGACACAGTTCCAAGATGAAAACGAATTAATGTTGAGGTACTTTTTGCCACTGGTAATGATAATTGCTTTTTATCCCTGTCAAGAAAAAATATATTTTTTTTATATGAGGGACTACATGTGAAGTGATCAAAATGAAAAAAAAAATTTTCTGCAATGTAGGTAATTTGTAGTCTTATAGAATCATAATAATATATAATAATTAATTCATAATTATCATGAATTATAATTCATTGGAAAAAGACTTTTTTCATTTAGACAAAAATTAATTGGCGAAAAAATTTTTGAATTACCGTTTTCTTTAATTATTTTTTTTCCTGAAATATTGAAATATAAATATATTTCATTGATATCAATTTCAATAGCCTTTGTGATGCCCTGACGAATGGTAAAGTGCATTTTCGAAAAAAAAAATTTTAAACAAAGAAAATCAAAAATAAATTTGACTTTTTTTAAAGTGAAAGTCACGATTTTTTTTTAAAACTAACTCTGAGGTTTTTTTTTCCTATATAGGGAAGAAAAACTATTTTTCTATGCAAATTATTATTAGTTTTTATCTAAAAAATTTTTGCATTGTTTTTTGATCGATAAATGGAAAAAAATTAGTTATTATTTTTTGAGTGAAAAATATATATTTTTTTCAATCGTTGATCATAAACGTTGTGAACTTCATCGACGTTTTAATTTCTTCGTTTTGCTAAATAAAGTTATTTATATTTTTCAATTTTTCTTAATTAAGAAAATAAGAAAAATTAATAAAATTTATTGTTAAACGCAGAAAATTACATTCTCAATTTTTTGGAAGTATGTTTTGACTAACATTTTTGTCGAAAGTCGTATCAGATTCTATATTTATTGAAAAACCACAAATTATGTAATGAAAAATGAAAAATTTTTACAAAAAAAGACTAAATATATTTTTTTTATATAATATTTAACATGTCAAAATAATATTTGGATTTTTGTGATATTTTTAATTTTGTACTTATATGAGTTTTTTTCTTCAATAACATATTTTGGGGAAATTTCACGAGCTAGTTACGAATTGCATACTGTGATATCGGTGCCGCAAAAAACCTCCAAATTGTCAATTCACATTTAATTTACATTTGTTAATACTACTCACGAGTGTGAAAAATAAAAAATGGTCTTATTAGGCAAAATTAGATATTTAAACAACATATTTCTTCACTGAAATCGAAGAAATAGAGAAAATCCTGATGTAACTCGCATTAAGGGGGGCGCCTACTTTATCGAGTCAAAAAAATCGATTTTTTAAAAGTTGTCTTAACTGAAAGTACAACTATCAGAGAATATGCTCTTAAAATATTACGTCAAAGTACAAAGTATTTTTCGAGTTACAGCTTGTAGAACGCAATAAAGCGCGTGGCCTGGCGCGCGACTCCACTCGCGGTCTCTAATACTTTTCATAATTTGTTGCGCTTATCTACTATTACACCTACCATTAAAATTACCATTTATCAATAAAATGTCGTCTTATCCAAGAGCTACCCATAAAAAAATAGTCGTTCATCGAGGCCTGTGACTGCCGTAAGTTTTTAATAAACAGTTTTTCAATCTTTAAACTCGTTTTTCTCAAAACACTGTTTTTGTAGTTTGCGTACACGATAGACAAAAATCTATTCAACCGATTAAGGTCTACCTGGGCTTGTTTTAAAGATAAAAAGTGTCTCTTCTGTATGAACTAAATTTGTTTTTGATAGAGTTAAATTTAGTGCTTTCTTTTAAAGAAAAAATGAGATTTTTTTTGGCGAAAATTAAATTTTTTTTAAAAAAGTCATGTAAAAATGTCAGTTTTTACTTTCTATTATAATCTTTTAATTCATACAGAAGGCAATAATGTATATTTAAAGAAAAGATTTTGTTTTTGTGTTTTAGATATGAATTGTGGACCCTAGGTTGTACGCAAAGGGAAAATTTCAGCAGCGAGGCGTTATATATATGGCGTTTATTTTATTATTAAATTCTATTTTCATTTAATTCAAAAAATTATATTTCAAAGATTTAAATATATAAGAAAACATACACTAAATCTCGCATCGATTTATTTAAATGTGTTTGAGAAAAAAATTCCTGAAATGTACGCAGTTTTTTACCTTCTAAAGTAGGCGCCCCCCTTAAATCTAATTTTCATTTAACGATAACTTTTTAAGCAATCGCTTTTAATGCTTGGGGTTTTTTGACATTCATTTATGGGTTCTGAAGGATTAAAAAATGTGTATTAGACAAGTGTGCCACTTGTGATATGCGAGATAATGAGCTATTCATAAGTGTAACTACATTTTTGCTGATTTTTGAAAATCATCAATTTTCTTATAATACTTTTTGAGAGATCATTATTTAACATTCGTCCATATAAAATTTACATTTTCAGCTATCCAAGAAAAGAAATCTGGGTGGTAGAACATTGTGACACTTAACATTTCTATGTAATCGTTCTGGGAAAACGCGCAACGAGTGCGTAACTCATTCCCAAAGAATGGTTTTTCGACGAGCACAACAAATTATACGTGGGGCATTTCATTTGAAAACGATCAGTCATGACTTAGATTTTTTTAATATTTCGTTTTTTTGTATTGTTTGGGGACTTAAATAAGTGTGCAAAATTTTAATTAAAAATCTTAAGTTTTTTTCAAGTTATTTACATTAACAAATTTAAGATACTTTTTTTCCTTTTCGCTATAACTTTTTCATTTTTCTTTGTACAGAAAAGTGTTTTAAATGTTTTTTCTTCAAAAATTATTGAATTTGAAGAAAATGATTTTTATTTTTAATATTTTATAATTTTTATATTATTTATTTAAAAAAAAAAATTTTTTATTAATGTTTAAACCTGTTATCGGGCTAATTTCGATCTAAAAAAAATCATGAATATTCTTCAATATTATACAAATTACATATTAAAATTTGGTGAATGCATTATGTTTTGTTCTCGAGAAAAATTTTTTTGAAATTTACCGTGCATGGCTCTAGCGGTCGCATCGGTCAGCGCTTGGGTTAGATCCCATGCTGCGCGCCCATAGAGCCATGCACGGTAAATTTCAAAAAAAAATTTCTGGAGAACTAAACATAATGCATTCACCAAATTTTAATATGTAATTTGTATAATATTGAAGATTATTCATGATTTTTTTTAGATCGAAATTAGCCCGATAACAGGTTTAAACATTAATAAAAAAAATTTTTTTTTTAAATAAATAATATAAAAATTATAAAATATTAAAAATAAAAATCATTTTCTTAAAATTCAACAATTTTTGAAGAAAAAACATTTAAAACACTTTTCTGTACAAAGAAAAATGAAAAAGTTATAGCGAAAAGGAAAAAAAGTATCTTAAATTTGTTAATGTAAATAACTTGAAAAAAACTTAAGATTTTTAATTAAAATTTTGCACACTTATTTAAGTCCCCAAACAATACAAAAAAACGAAATATTAAAAAATTCTAAGTCATGACTGATCGTTTTCAAATGAAATGCCCCACGTAAAAAAATGTACATATCCTTTTGTAATTTGTTGTTTTACTCTCTAAATTTGAGTCAGTGAATTTCACTGCTAACCAGTTATAAGTATACCAAACTAGTGAAATTTCACTGACCCAATCAGTCAAATTTCACTGGTTTGGTATAATTATAACTGATTAGCAGTGAAATTTACTGATTCAAATTTAGAGAGTAGTATAAATAAATATGTGTGAAAAATGCTCACCCCTAAAATTGACATAAAGGGTTGATATTGAACAATTTTTTACGAGAAAATATTGGTTCATTAGTCTGTTTAAAGTGCCCTTGAAGAAAAAAATATATTTGAACGATCCCGGGTGAAATTTTGATGAATGTAGGTTTAGGCAAATGTAAGGGGTTGTTTTTTAAAGGATTGTAAAGTATTGTAAATTTTCGAAAATGAAAGAGATAAGTAAAATTGCCCTAAAATGTCAAAAAAATGGAAAATTTGTTGCTTTTATATATATATATATATATATATATATATATGTGCCATTCCAGGAGTTTTTTAGCACTTTTCGGAGTAACCTTTCCAAATTAAATGAAACATTTTTTTAATAATATTTATTAATATAAAGGTCCAAAAAAATCACTTTTTAAGTAAAAACAATTGTTTATTTAAAAAATACAACAATAAATAATGCAAAAAATTCACTTTTTTCCTGCAACTCCAAATAAATTGGTTTAAAGATCAAAATTTTCCTTATTTTTCAAGCTTTAACACCGCACAAGAAACATAGAGTCCGAGAAAATATTCAACTCACAATTTTTTAAACAATGTTTGTTTACTTTTTTGTATTTTATTTACTGTGAAACGTCTGCTAAAGCTGCGCGCGACGTTTGGAAGTTGTCGCTTTCCTTATTGAGCAGAAGCTCATTACACTAGCGTAGTAAAAAACATGTTGTGTGAAAAGTGAGGTTTTTCATCCTTCAAAAATGCTTTTTATGATTTTTTACTGCAAAGTAGATAATTAAAAACCATTCAATGTGATAACCAGAAATTTTTACGTTTCGTTTAATGACAACATAACCTCACTTTTCACACAACATGCTTTCTACTACGCTAGTGTAATGAGCTTCTGCTCAATAAGGAAAGCGACAACTTCCAAACGTCGCGCGCAGCTTTAGCAGACGTTTCACAGTAAATAAAATACAAAAAAGTAAACAAACATTGTTTAAAAAATTGTGAGTTGAATATTTTCTCGGACTCTATGTTTCTTGTGCGGTGTTAAAGCTTGAAAAATAAGGAAAATTTTGATCTTTAAACCAATTTATTTGGAGTTGCAGGAAAAAAGTGAATTTTTTGCATTATTTATTGTTGTATTTTTTAAATAAACAATTGTTTTTACTTAAAAAGTGATTTTTTTGGACCTTTATATTAATAAATATTATTAAAAAAATGTTTCATTTAATTTGGAAAGGTTACTCCGAAAAGTGCTAAAAAACTCCTGGAATGGCACATATATATATATATATATGTACATGTGTTTGGTCTTCAAAAAGTATTATTTAAAAATGAATTATCTACAAAGTCACCGATGGGGTGACATCTACCCCTATTTAGAAAAATTATATCAAATCCATGAAGTTTCATTATTATTATAATTATAATTTACACCTTATAAAAATTTTGAAATTTATATGAATTTGTTAATTTCGATATTTTTTCCAATTACGATTTTCGTCCTTCTTTCGCCACAGAGATGATTTCTTTCTTAGAGTAGCTTTTCTGAGTATAAAACGATTGATATCAATAAGGATATCATCACAGTAAAAATAAAATCTTCTATAAAGATTACTCGTGAGTTTAATCAGTCTTAAAAATCAAGATAGTTTTAATTTAAATGGAATTTAGTGTGTATCTTAAAATAAAACTTATTTTCCTTCTTGAAATAAAATTCTATTTTAACTGTGAACATGTTTTTACGTTTAAAATTAAGGAAAATGGAGTTAGGAACTTTGTTTGAGAACATTTTCTCTTAAAAATACGTTTTACCTGCACTCATAACCACAAAAATTAAAAATATGGTTTAAATCGAGTAGCTATTAAGAAATATGAAATTACACGGGTAAAAATTTATTTATATTTGGTCGAAAAATAATAATTTATGGTAGAAAAAAGTGTGCCACTAAATTGAAAATAATTTTCTTTTTTTTAAACAAAAAGTACCCAGCTCGTGAAATTTGCCCATATACCTGCGGGATATGGAAAATTTTCTACTTTAAAAAAATTAATTAAAAAAAAAAGAATAATAACGAACCTAGTGAAAAACCAACGTGCAACTGAACCAGCAACAACCATGTGTTGACATCCCAAGAAAAATTCACACATCACAAAGAAAATGAATATATTATACCATCTGGTAACCTGTTAAAACAATTAAATTCTTCTTATTAGTATAAATAATAATTTAGTATTTATAATTATTATTTAATTCAATTCTATACGTACTTTGATAATTATATCTTTTTTATAATGAAGATGATTTTTTGCCGTATTATTGTAAAGATCGCCAGCACTTTCTATTAATATCATACAATAAACCCAAGCAAAAACAGTCAGAAGAACCATTAAGTATGTCTGTAAATAATAATAATTCTAATTAATAATAAATGATGGTAATTTTATTATGTGAAAATTAAATAAATTTTTTGTATTGAAATTCAATTTTGAAATTGAATAATTTCGACCAAAATGTTAATTTTTTTTTATTTATATCTAAAAATAAAATAAAAATAATTTTAATGATCGCATAAATATTTATATTTTTTGCTCACATCATTTGGACTCTAAAAATAAAGAATATGTAGTTAAAAAATGAAAATCTTAATTATTGACTATAGTCTGGAAAAAAATTAAAATTTTTTTAAATTGAACTATTTACACGACGGTGAAGTTTACAACGTTTATGATCAACGATTCAAAAAAAAAAAAAATATTTTCCACTCAAAAAATAATAACTACTTTTTTGTCTACAAATTTTTTTTTCACATATAATTATTAATCAAGAAACGTTGCAAAAAATTGTGTAGATCAAATCGTTGATAGTAAACGTTGTGAACTTTACCGACGTCTATTTACATAATTTTTAATTATTATTTTTTAAATTATTTTTTAAAATCTCTCGTATGGATTTTCAAAAGAAATTTTATTTAAAAAAAATAAAGAAAAAAATGAATTGAAATTTTATTAATCTTTTCTATTAAATATTAAACTACTTTAGTAATTTTAGCTATTTTTCATCGCTAATTTTTTTACTCACTTTTTTAATGATTCTTTAGAATCTCTGGTATGAATTTTAAAAGATTTGTATTTTTTAAAAAAATACAATTTCTAAAATGGTCAAAAATTAAGATTTTCTTTTTTAAACCACATTGTATATTTTTAGAACAAAAAAAAATACATAAATTTGTGCGATCATTAAAATTTAAAGAGAAAAAAATTAAACGCAATTACTTTATAATAATTCATAATAATAATAAAATGGCTCAATTAATAGAAAAAAAAATTGAAATTAATGTCGAGAATTTATTTTAAAAATATTAAAATTTCAATTATTATTTCCAACAATTTTTATAAATTTTCTATCAAAAGGGAGATAAAATTAGGAAATAAAATTTGAACATACATAAATGGGTTGTAATAATAAGGCTGGCATGGAATAAACTGCTTTTCCAGCTTCCCTAAATAGCTGGACAACGAGTGCAATTCTCTTTCGCATTACGAGAACAACGAGAATAGTGATGACCTAGAAGATAATAAGTTGTGATTTAAGCCGAGGATAATCATAAATTGAAATTGCCATATATATATGTATATATATATATATATATATATATATATATATATATATATATTAGAGGCATTTTAACTTACTGTAACTATAGACATTATTATCGCATATACGAAATAATCGGTAGTGCTCGCGTCATCTTCATGGATTAAACCTTTATCAACCGCCTTCTTCTCATGGTACCAAGCCAACCTGAAAATCACAATTTTCATACATATTTTACTCAAATTAAAATAAATAAAAGTAAATTACAAGTAACTATAAAAATAATTGAATACAAAAAATTTTCAATTTAATTAACTGGAGGGATAGGGCGAAATTTTAACTCAACAAAATTAATGTTGTTTAGGTCGTAAAAATTAAATTTTTAAAATTAATTTTTAAAATAAAACTAGAAATTCTGGAAAAATTAAAATTTTACTCATTATTTATTTATCATTGCTGATTTATTTAGAAGTTTTTTCATGATTTTAAATAATTAATAATCGTAGGGATTTTGAAAAATTTCAATGTTTTCAAAAAAAATTAAATTTATGAAGAATAGTAAAAACAATTGTAAAAATTACTTTTTTTCATTTTTCACGAAGCTGAAGTACGCAACGTTTATGATAAATGATTTTTAAAGAAATAAATTTTCAAAATGAAAAATTTCTATAATTTTTTGCCTAAAAAATATTTCTTGTAGTTTTCATTAATCAACAAATTACAAGAAAAATATATTTTTTAGGGAAAAAATTATAGAATTTTTCATTTTAAAAAATTATTTCTTTAAAAATCGTTTATCATAAACATTGCGTACTTCAGCTTCGTCATTTTTCTTATATACTGGAATATGATTTTAGCTTCTGAAAAAAAAAATGACAAAAAAAATCGTTACCCCCTAAACAAGGTAAATTTTTATTGGTCTAATTGTTAATGGTGATTTATTTGTAAATTCAATTTTTTCCACAATTTTTATTATTTTTCATTGTTAAATTTTTATAGGGTCAGTCGGGGTAAATCCGAACGGGGGGTAAATCCGAACGCTAATTATTTCAGCTTAATTAAAATTTTTAAAAATAAGTTCGATATGAGAATTTTTACCTCAGATCCTCTTAAAGAGATTCTAAGTATTATCCCATTTTTTGTTTGTTAATTAGCAACAGCATAAACAAAGATAACAAGTATTGCAAAAAAGATTGAAAATCAAAGATGACACTCTTTCAGTATTTTGTCTCGTATTTGAAGAAAAAGAAGCTAAAAATTCATTTTATTATTTATAATTGTTTGTTATGAATACTAGAACAGAAACTATATTTGATTTTTGCCTTCTGTAAAATTTTATTAATAATATCAGACCGTTCGTATTTACCCAAAAAAATTGGAAAACTGGGGTAAAAACGAACGGTATTTTCAATCATTTTTTTTTTACATCAGAGCCACACAAAATTGTTTTTATTTCATTACACTATTATTTTAACATTATAAAAGTACATAGAAAAAAGTTTTTCTTTCTATACGTATCCTCGTTAGTAATTAATAAGCAGAAACTTAATCTCTGTTCTCTCGAAGGAGTGTTTCAATTTTTTTGCCAAATGGTTTGTTGAAAAAAGTTTTTCAGGATCTTAATAAAATTTGGTATTCTACGGTTTTTGGGGTCGCTAATTACCAATTTGAAGTCAGTTTTTCAAAATTCAAAATGGCGGACGAGAATTAAAAAATTCATTGGATTCGCTCGAAAATTGTTACTCGGGGGGTTTCAGGGTTAGCAAATTTGATCATTTTTAAAAATAAGTTTTAGGAAAGTACGCCATTTTGAATTTAAAAAATTTGACTTTTATTTTTGTATTTACATTCAATCACTCCAAAATACTTTCTGTACCAAGTTTTGCAAAAATCCGTTATGATTTGATAAAGTTATGCATTTTAATTTTTAACCTGTTTGATTTTTGTATTTATATATGATGCATTATTACATAATAGGTTTATTATCGTATTTTTTTGAGTTTTTATATAAGTTTAACAATTGCAATACTTTAAATTTATTTTCCCTAAGATTTTTCTGAAATACAGTGGCGTTCGTATTTACCCCCATATTTTAGGAAAGTTGCAAAGTATCGAGGTAAATACGAACGCTAAGTTTCCTGCGATTGTAATTTATCAAAAAATTTTTCTACCCCATAAAATTGTTCTATGGAAGTAAAGTAACAACTTCATGCACCAGAATACCGGAAGTATTTTTTTTTTAAAGAAAAAACTTATGTTATTGTTGAAACTTACTAAAAGCGTTCGGATTTACCCCAGTTGACCCTACGCCTTTTTTCGTGATTCTGAACAATCAATCGTATGGACATTGAAAAATTTTAATTTTTTCAAAAAAAATAAAAATTTTTAAATCGTCAAAAATAATTTTTTAAAAAAATTTTAACAATATAATTATAATAATTTTAGATTCTAAATAATGCCAGAAAAAAATGACACCCATAAAAAAAATTAATTTTGATTTGTACATATTATAATAATAATAATAATAATAATAATAATAAATAATTAATTATTGATGTTAATAATTAACTTACCAAAGGTATGTAGTTCCACCAATACAAACGACGACAGCACCAGATAGAACAATATAAATGACATATTGTACCATATATCGAAAAGCAATTAAAATTACCAGAGAAATGGCTGTAAATAAATATTTTTATTAAGAAAAAAATCTAATAAATGAATATTATAATTTATCGTAACCAAGTTACCTAAAGCGATTAGAAGAAGATAAACTAATTCACGCCATGCTTGTGAAAGATCTCGTGTTGCTTCCTTCATAGAGAAAAATTTTTTTTTTTGTTAATATTGTTAATAATAATGAAAATATAATGATAATATTTATCAAACATTAAATAATCTTCAATGTGTACACTGAAAACAAGGAGGGGTCCTTTATGTTTATTTCATAAACATTATGCTTCCTCATTGTGTGAAGCAAAAAATTCGCTTCCTCGTGAAGGAAGCAATGAATTTGTCCAATTCAATTGATTGATTTAAAAAATTTCGAGTTAAAAATGTTTTAAATTAATTAAATTTTTTGAAAAATAAAGAAAATTTTAATTAATTTTGAGTGTAACATAAACTTTATATATACGAATCGATTCGTTTTAATGCAAGGAATACAATTATTTTATTCATCAACTTGAATTTAAAAAAAACACAAAATTTTTTAGCTAAAATATGAATTTTCGATTTTTCAATTTTTATTAATTCTCAAATTTTAAATCAAATCTATACTTTATATATATCAATCGATTCATCTTGACATAAAGAAGACGATTATATTATATATTACCTTAAATTTTTCGATTTAAAAATTTTTTCAATTAAAAAAAAATTTTTGGAAAAAAGACGATAAAATTTTTTTTTTGGGGTATTTTTAAAAATCCTCTCGTCATTTTTGAGAGATTAATGTGTTAAATAAGCCTACTAAATTTTATCCAAATCCATTAAAACCTGTTAAAGATATCGTGTTCACAAAAACGATCCACACACACATACACACACACACACACATACACACACACACATACATCCGGACAATTGATCAGGATCTCATATAACATGTTTCTATATAGAGGAAAATTTGTTTTCACCATTTTTAAAAAGTTTATAAACGAAAGGACTACATAGCTTCCTCCACGAGGAAGCAAAAAAATTTATTTGATTCATATAATCCGTTACTTAAATAATTATTATTTGAGTGAATTAAATCAGTCAAGGAAACGTAATGTTAAAATACCCGTGCAGAAAATTTGTCCGGGCCCTGGTCGGGCCCAGACCAGGCACAAACAGGGAACCCGACCGGGGCTATGCCAATTTGCCCGATCTTATAGTAATTGTAATTTTCAATAAATTATAATTATTTATCTCTAATTGATAAATAAAATAATAAAATTAATCAATATTATTTTATTTTATGAATCTGCATTAAAAAAAACACCTTATAAAATGAAAATGAAATAAAAGTTAAAACAAGTTATTTGAATAATTGTTTCGTTTACTCTCTAAATCTGAATTAGTAAAAATGTTTACTTATCTAATTAGTGACTCACTTTTGGATTATGAATTAGTAAAATTTTACTAATTATTAGTAACTTTTACTAACAATTAGTAAAATTTAAGAGATACTCACTTTTTGCTTAAGAATTAGTTAAATTTTACTAATTGTTAATAAAAGTTACTAATAATTAGTTAAATTTTACTAATTCATAAGCCAAAAGTGAGTCACTAATTCAAATTAGTAAACATTTTTACTAATTCAGATTTAAAGAGTAAAAAATGTCATAATATGCTATAAATTTATTTTCACTAGTTTTTAAAAAATTTTAAATATGGCAACCAAGCCTGGCTCTGGTCGGGCCAATAGAAATTTACTAACCCGGGGCCAGAACAAGAAATCAGATCGGGGCCAGGTCGGTAATCGGGATATGAAAAGTGGCAATTTCTGCATGGGTAGGGAAGAAAGACTTTTTATTTCCAATTTCTATCCTTCCAAAAAAAATTGAGAAAATAATTTAACTTTAAATGAATTAAATTATGCAAGAAAAAAATTTATCTTTAAATTAATACAGAAATTATTGGTTTAAATACTAGTTTAATTAAATTCAAATAAAAATTATTTTGTTCAGAAGTAAAAAATTATTTGAATGAAATAAATTTTTTTTCGATATATCGCTTACGTGAAAGAAATCCTTTAATCCAAGAGACTTAATAAGTGATCCTGCAGAATCAGTAATTTTTTTTGGAATGCAACGATTCAGAAAAGTCACACTGTAATTTAACAAAATCAAATATTATCAAATTTATTGTTTATTTAAAAATAATTCTAAATTAATTACTATTTTAATTTTTTACAAAAAATTAATAGTTATTAATATAATAATAGTTATTTTTTAATTAATTTTATTATTAATATTAATTTTTATTATTAATTATATGGTTAATATTATTAAAATTATTCCCTAGTAGGAAGTAAAAAATAAATTTATGATTAGATTTTTTAAAACAAAATTTTTTCATGAAAATCATTTAAATTTAATAAGTTTAATAACTTAATAAGGGCGTAAGCAGTAGAGCAATTGTTAAAACTATATATATATATATATATATATATACATATATATAAAGACTTAATTAATCCATCGTTATACAACACTTACTAATCTGGTGAATTGGTACAGTTCGTTACACATGTTCTCGATTTCACTCCATCAGCTCCAACATTAACCAGAAGATACCTTTAAATAATATTAAAAATTCTATAAATAATTATTCATTATTATTATTATATTTTATTTTTAAATTATATTAGTTATATTATAACTAATTTTTGGATATCATATTCATTTCATATATATTTTTGAGCCGAATTTTTATTTGTTTGAATTAGAATTTTGCAGAATTTTCATTAAAACGATTTTCTATATTACAGAATTTTTATGTAACCGAAAATTAACTTCACAGAATTTTTATTTGTTCAAATTTTTAACTGTCAAAATTTTTATTTGCTCGAATTTTCATTTAACATAATAGACATTTTAAAGAATTTTTATTGGGTAGAATTTCATTGCATACAATTTTCTTTCAGATGAATTTTCATTTGTTCGAATTATTATTTGATATAATTTCCATATAACCAATTTTTCATACTACAGAATTTTTAGTTAATCGAAAAATCATATAATAGAATTTTTAATTGATAGAATTTTCATTTGTCCGAATTTGCAAATGGCCGAACAAACAATTGACAGAAAGATTTCGGCGCGATTTTTAAAATCAACCAATCACAATTTTATGGATAATTTTTGATTGGTTGATTTTTAAAATCGCGCCGAAATCCTTCTGTCAATTATTTGTTCGGCCATTTGCAATTTTGGACATATGAAAATTCTATCAATTAGAAATTCTGTTAAATGATTTTTCACGGTGCGCCAGAAGGTGGTTGAAATAAAAATGAATTGGCACTTAAAAATTCTTTTTGATTATGATTCTTAGATGAATAACAAACATTTCTCAATAGTTTTTAAAATCAGTTTACGTGCCCGATTTAAATATATAATTGAGTTTTTATATAAAAACAGTGTTTTATGGGGAATCAGAATTTATTTAATCTAATAAATACTGTAATAAATGATAAAATAATTACTTATTATCAATTTTATATATAGATAATTATATTGCTGTAGTGTTTGTGTCCAATTTTAAGAAATTAAATTATAATGTTAAAAGAACGATTTTAAGAGTGACAAAATTTATTTAAGAGAGTCGAATGATCTCTGAAATTTTTTGGCAAGAAGAGACCTTTAATTATCGCTGTATAAAAACGGCACTAAACGTGAAAATGATAAACATTGATTTTAAAATACTTTCTTCTCGAAAGACGGACACTTTTTAAAAAAGCAGCTAGAGATCCTTATCTTATATAAATTTCCTAAATCCTAAAGATTATACGAATCCATACAAAAACACGATTGCAAAACGAAAAGTAATATAATGACAGGTACATTTCCTCCTGCCGCCGTCAGATGGCAGCAGCATGCAGGGCGCACAAAGTTGCAGCTGTTATTAGATTACTTTTCTACTTTATGTTTTGCAACCATGTTTTTCTATGGATTCGTACAGTCTTTTCGATTTAGGAAATTTATAAGATGAGGATTTTGGCTGATTTTGTTAAAAGTGTTCGTGTTTCGAGAAAAATGTATTTTAAAATTAATACTATTTCACGTTTAGAGTGATAATTAAAGCTCTCTTCTTGCCAAAGAATTTCAGATACCGTTCGACACTCTTAATGCATAAAAATAAAAACGAAACAAGAAAATAACTTCATTGTTAATAAATTTATATGAACCCAAATCTAAAACATCTATTATCTATACGCATATAAGTATACATTAAATAAATTCTTGTTCCTTATAAAATACCATTTTTAAATATTTAAAACTCAATTTGTTTTAAATTGGGCACGTAAGCTGATTTTAAAACCTATTGAGAAAAGTTTTTTATTCATCTTAGAACCATAATCAAAAAGAATTTTTAAGTGCCAATTCATTTTTATTTAAACCTCCTTCTGGCGCACCGTGTTTTCGGTTAAGTAAAAATTCTGTATAGTATAAAAAATTGGTTATATGGTAATTATATCAAATAATAATTCGAACAAATAAAAATTCATCTGAAAGAATAAAATAAAAATTCTATGCAATGAAATTTTACCCAATAAAAGTTCTTTAAAATGCCTATTATGTTAAATGAAAATTCGAGCAAATAAAAATTCGAACAAATAAAAATTCTGTGAAGTGAATTCTCGGTTATTTAAAAATTCTGTAATATAGAAAATTGTTTTGATGAAAATTCTACAATATCCTAATTCGAACAAATAAAAATTCGGTTTAAAAAAAATAATTACATGACAAAATGAAATTCCATAAAATGAAAATTCTAACTAATGATTTTTAGAACATAATCATGCGTTCCATTATAAAATACATATTAATAATAATTTATTCATTAAATAATTATTACGATATAAAAATAATAATATTATAAACTTTGATTAAAATAAAATAATAAAAAAGTTTAAAAAATCATTTGCAGAATATATAAATAAATATTTACGGCTTATTTTTCATGTCAGCTCCCTTGCATCTAAATTGTGGATCAGTTTCCTTTGAAGTAATTCTTCCACAAATATTGGCACAATCATCATAACCATTGATAACTCTATGAATGTCACCTTTTTTTGCTGCAGCGATCATAAAATATCCCTATTAGAAAAAATGTAAAATTAAAAATTTACTATATTTTTTTTTTATTAAATTAATAATTGATAACTTTTTTTTTATTAATTATTAAATTAATTTTTAAAAAAAATTATTAATGGTAACTAAATTAGCGTGATGAAATGAATCAATGTGCTAATTATTTACTTTTTTTTACGATCACAATATTAATAATTATTTAATTATATATTCGTTTTGAAAATCGAATTATATAAAAGAAAACTTACAAAGGCACATAAAACGATAATGAAGATGATTAAAGCCAATATGTCAGTGCAGGAACGGTCATTGGAAAAAACTTGATTGACGTCATCAGAAGTTTCCTCATCATCGGGAGACTGTAGAAATTCGATTAAATATATATATAATTAATCAAAATGTGATAATTTAAATCAATATAGTAAATCAGAAATCGAAAATCGATAAAATCCCATAAGTCTCAATTTTTATAAATTTACAAATATTTTAATAATTTAGATTTTGTAAATAAGGTGATTTTTATCATTAAATATTTTTCATCTTTCTTTATTAGAGAGATTAAAAATATTTCGAGCTTTAATCTCTTTTTTAAATAGAAATTTCATTAATTTACAAAAACAACGATAATTAAAAAAAAATTTACCATTTAAAAATACATTAAATAAATAACGGAAACTTTTATTTTAAATATATAATTTAAAGAGTTTTAAATTAAACGTAAGCGTAAGTATATTGTAAAATTTAATTTGTTCTTTTTATTACAATAAGTTTATAATAAATAATATAATATAAGGGTCAGTCCACTGACTTTCGTCTAATAGTGGTTGCGACCAAATTTTTAAAAAATCTAGTTTTAATACCTATGTTAAACTCGATGATTCCCTGAGTTCATTAACCATAATATTATGGTAGAAATTTTATTCCCTTTAAAAATATTAAATATCAAAAGTAGGAGGTTCACAATGTGATTTTGTAACCTTAAATTTTTCAATTTTTTTAAAAACGCTATTATTAAAAAACTATTAAAAATTAGAGGTTGAAACTCACCAAAAACATAAATCACTTTATTCTGCACAGAGGAACGAAAGAATTATTGCAAAAATTTATTATTTTTGGATGATATACGATTTTAAAAAAATTTTTATTTAAATATTCTCAAGATTTTTATTTACTTATAACTTTTTTGTTGGTGCTCCGAAAAAATTGAGGTTTTGCACAAAGATTTTTTATAATATTCTTTACCTTCTATTAAAATCTTACGAAGGTGTTTTGCTTCGTTTTGGAGATATTAATAGAAGGTAAAGAATATTATAAAAAATCTTTGTGCAAAACCTCAATTTTTTCGGAGCACCGACAAAAAAGTTATAAGTAAATAAAAATCTTGAGAATATTTAAATAAAATTTTTTTTAAAATCGTATATCATCCAAAAATAATAAATTTTTGCAATAATTCTTTCGTTCCTCTGTGCAGAATAAAGTGATTTATGTTTTTGGTGAGTTTCAACCTCTAATTTTTAATAGTTTTTTAATAATAGCGTTTTTAAAAAAATTGAAAAATTTAAGGTTACAAAATCACATTGTGAACCTCCTACTTTTGTATATTTAATATTTTTAAAGGGAATAAAATTTCTACCATAATATTATGGTTAATGAACTCAGGGAATCATCGAGTTTCACATATATTAAAACTAGATTTTTTTAAAATTTGGTCGCAACCACTATTAGACGAAAGTCAGTGGACTGACCCATAAATAATAATTAATATTATTGTTATTAATAAATTATTTAATTTCCTAATAAAAAATATAAAACTATTCACAATTGACAACTTTTCACTATAGATAATTCAGATTCAAAAAAGTGCATAAAACAATTGATGTGCTTTCACTATATAAAAATGTCACTAAAGTAAATAAAAATAAAAATAAACTACAAGTGTGTTTAAATTTTTAAAAACTATTCTAAATCGTGTTTTATATATATATATATATTAAAGCTCGAAATATAATTAATCTCTTACCGATGGCTCTACCTTATCATCTCCACAGCCACAACAGCCCATTTTCGTCACTGATGGAGAGCGAATTGACAAAAATCGCCCCCGGTCACTTTCGATTTTTTGATCCTCTTGATCTTCGTCAACACATGTAGGATTAAGTTTTTCCTCCTCGGGAGTGACAACCTCTGCAACAAATAGTGAAGAAAAATTTCATTTGCAATTACCCTCCATTAATAGCCTTATATCATTCATGAGTTTCTGACTATGAGATTCTTATCACAGGTAAACGTTATACCTCGTATAATGTGTAACGCGATCGATGAACTTCATCGAACAAACTGTCACGCGAACTAACATATAATATCCCGTAACACAGGGCAACGACGACTTATTGTACTTTTGTAAAATTTTAATTAGCATTATCTCTTTTAGAATTAGAAAATATTTATCACATGAACAAATATGTATATATTAAATAATATAACTCATATATATTCAATACCGTAATGTCTTAATTGGTAATCTATATATGGGGCATTCTATTTTAAAATTATACCCCTAGTAAACAATTGACATTATAAGACATTTTTTAAATAATTATTTCTCCCATTTAATTAAATCAAATTACTTTTGCAATGAGTGGTTTCGAAAGAGAAATTTCTAAACTTTACAATTGTAAAAAAAAATTTTCAAAAAAACATTTAAATAGTATAAAAAATTTAGTTTGAAGGTTAAACTTGTAAATATCTCAAAACACGTTGTCTCCGATTTTGACAAAATCAATGTCAAAAGAAAGCTTAAATATTCTATTTTTTATTTCCGTAAAGTTTATAATGGACATTTTCGAGAATTTCCAGAAATTAATTAAAATTCTCAGACGTTTCGGAGGTTAAAAAGGATTGAAATTTGTATGAATGGAGAACCATTTCTTTAAGAGCGGATTTTGTTTTTTAAATTTAATTTCCATTAACCTTACATTATTACATCACTTGACATTAGAGAAAAAAAATATTGTAAACAATAAATATATTGATCTTAAGCTATTTGCAATTCAAAATTTTTCAAATTTAAAAAAATTATTAACCTTTACTTGACACACTTTTTCTGAGTATCATACTTGACACATTGGGGTTTTTTGTACCCCATCGACAAAAATCATCATGAAAAATAAAATATTAAATATATCTACTTCAATTTTTTTTTACATATTCTTGAGAGGTATCTTCTGAAAACTATATAAGTTATATAGTAGAATATTTAAAGTAAGTATTTTTAAAAAATTGGAAAACGTGAGGTATTTCGAGAAAAATTGGTAAGAATGGAAAAACGTGGGGTATTTTGTACCCCAGTGTGTCAAACAAAGGTTAAGATTAAAATTGAAGTTTTAAAATTTATTTATTTAAAAATTTCGTAAAAACAAATGCCGCTGTATTTGAACAGAGGTTCTCTATTCATGCAAATTTCAACCCTTTTTAACCTTTGAAACGTCTGAGAATTTTAATTAATTTCTCGAAATCCTCGAAAATGTCCATTATAAACTTTACGGAAATAAAAAATAGAATATTTAAGCTTTCTTTTGACACAGATTTTGTCAAAATCGGAGACAACGTGTTTTGAGATATTTATAAGTTTAACCTTCAAACTAAATTTTTTATGCTAATTAAACGTTTTTTTAAAAAAATTTTTTTACAATAATAAAGTTTAGAAATTTCTCTTTCGAAACCACTCATTGCAAAAGTAATTTGATTTAATTAAATGGGAGAAATAATTATTTAAAAAATGTCTTATATTGTCAATTGTTTACTAGGGGTATAATTTTAAAATAGAATGCCCCATATACAGATCTTGTTAATGTTGGAAAACAAAGGAATAACGTTTTTCATTTGAAATTCCATTTAATTAATTATAGACCTCCATGAAGTTGGCCCGACCAGGGCCAGGCTTGGTTGCCATATTTAAAATTTTTTAAAAACGAGTGAAAATATATTTATAGCATTTTATGACATTTTTTACTCTCAAAATCTGAATTAGTAAAAATGTTTACTAATTTGAATTAGTGACTCACTTTTGGCTTATGAATTAGTAAAATTTAACTAATTATTAGTAACTTACTAACAATTAGTAAAATTTAACTAATTCTTAAGCAAAAAGTGAGTATCTCTTAAATTTTTCTAATTTTTAGTAAAAGTTACTAATAATTAGTAAAATTTTACTAATTCATAAGCATAAAGTGAGTCACTAATTTAAATTAGTAAATATTTTCACTAATTCAGATTTAGAGAGTAAACAAAACAATTATTCAAATAATTTTTTCCGACTTTTATTTCATTTTCATTTTATAAGGTGTTTTTCTTAATGCAGATTCATAAAATAAAATAATATTGATTAATTTTATTGTTTTATTTATCAATTAGAGATAAATAATTATAATTTATTGAAAATTACAATTACTATAAGATCGGGCAAATTGGCATGGCCCTAGTCGGGTCCTGACCAAGATTCCAGATCGGGCAAATTGGCATAACCCCGGTCGGGTTCCCTGTTTCATTTCGATCGGGCCCAAATAAGGCTCCTGTCGTGCCTGGTCTGGGCCCAACCAGGGCCCCGTTAAATTTTCTGCACGGGACAATGTCAGACAATTTTTTAATAATTATTTCTCCTATTTAATTAAATCAAATAACTTTTGCAATGAGTATAGTTTTGAAAGAGAAATTTCTACACTTTATTACTGTAAAAAAATTAAAAAAAAAAAAATATTTAATTAGTAGGGGAGAGTCAGCATGTTTGGGCCAGTTTTTGACTTGTGTCCATAACTTCCGTTTTAGGGTAAATTTTAAATTCTCTCGTATATGATTGGAAAGATACACTAAAGTGGAAGAATGTTTCTTCTGAACATCAGAAAATAATTGGGTCAAAAGTGTAAAAGTTACAGGCATTTAAAAAAAAAAAAATTTGTCGTGTAGGTTGGGTCAGGGCTTGATGCTTGGGCCACTGTAGTAAAACAATATGAAATGAAGGAAATTGACCAAAAAGGACCCGCAAATGGCAGAAAAATACTGAAATTGAGCTGAAAATGAAAAAATAAAATCTGAAATTAAAATAAAATTAGCACCCTGAACCAAAATCGGATTATTCGCGAAATTGGTCTAAAAAGTTAAAAAATAGTACAAAAATTTATTAAAACCAATTTTTTTTTAATGAAAATGGCATCTTTGACTGTTTTTTTTATATAAAAAATTGAATTTTCGATGTCTGGACGTATGATAATATTACAAAATTGGTGGGTGGCCCAACCAAGACGAACGGCGTCGTAAACAAAAACACGTTAAACAAACATAATAACAATAACTCTAAATAACACAGCCACACAAAAAAAAAGTACCCGGGCCGGGGAATGAGACTACCATTTCTTGATGTATTTTGATGCGCTGAACACGAATCTGAAGTCCGTTTAGCTCCATCACGTCAGGATTTTGACATAACCTCAAAAAACATAGCTGATTTTAAATGACAGGAGAAATTTTTTAAATAATGGCAGATTTGCTTGAATCTTGTTACTCGGGGGTTTTTGGGGTCGCTGATTACGAACTTAACGTCAGATTTATAAAATTCAAAATGGCGGATCCAATATGGCGACGAATTTTTAAAAAGTAGTTGGATTTTTACGAAAATCGGTATCTAGGGGTTTTGGGAGTCGCTAATTACAAATTTATCGTCAGATTATTCAAATTCAAAATAGCGGATCCAATATGGCGGACAAATTTTTAAAAAGTAGTTGGATTTTTACAAAAATTGGTATCATGGTGTTTTTTTGGAGTCGCTGATTACGAATTTAACGTCAGATAATTCAAATGTAAAATGGCAGATATAGTACGGTGGTCAAATATCTTTATGTTTCTACATGTGTCTGCATCCAGGGCACCTCCACGCGGTGACGGTGGGCAACGGAGTTTGTCCGCTATCCGGCTAAGTCCCTGGATAATGGCTTTGATGCCGTCATGGCAGACACGCGTAGGAAACGTATTACGATGCAGGGACTCGGAACCCCAGTATCGGCCAAGTTACATAAAAATTCAACTATTTTTTAAAAACTCGTCCGCCATTTTGGATCCGCCATTTTTAATTTGCATAATCTGACGATAAATTTGTAATCAGCGACTTCCAAAACCCCTAGATACCAATTTTCGTAAAAATCCCACTACTTTTTAAAAATTCGTCCGCCATATTGGATCCGCCATTTTGAATTTTATAAATCTGACGTTAAGTTCGTAATCAGCGACCCCAAAAACCCCCGAGTAACAAGATTCAAGCAAATCTGCCATTATTTAAAAAATTTCTCCTGTCATTTAAAATCAGCTATGTTTTTTGAGGTTATGTCAAAATTCTGACGTGAAGGAGCTGAACGGACTTCAGATTCGTGTTCAGCGCATCAAAATACATCAAGAAATGGTGGTCTCATTCCCCGGCCCGGGTACTTTTTTTTGTGTGGCTGTGTAATGCTTGAATCTTTTAAATTACATTGTAATGAAAAATTTCTGTCATTTCATTTTGTTGTTTGCTCATTCCATCTGTTATTTAATCGACTTTTCTGTCACTGTGAAAAAGTTTTGGGTTGTTATTTTTAGCACTTATTTTGGTTTTCTTGAAAAATTAAATGTTTATTGCAATTGCATTTTATTGTAACTGACGTGAAAAGTTAGTTACCATCACTAACAAGTATTTGCATAATAAAATAAAGGGCGCCAGTGTGCTCGAGCTATAAACACAGGGGTGGCCCAACCATGGTGACTCCCGCCTATAAAAAATTTAGTTTGATGGTTAAACTTCTAAATATCTCAAAACACGTTGTCTTCGACTTTGACAAAATCACGAAGCTAAAGTACGCAACGTTTATGATAAACAATTTTTAAAGAAATAAATTTTTAAAATGAAAAATTTCTATAATTTTTTGCCTAAAAAATATTTCTATGTCGAAAGTAAGCTTAAATATTCTATTTTTTATTTCCCTAAAGTTTATAATGAACATTTTTAGAGGATTTTGAGAAATTAATTAAAATTTTCAGACGTTTCATATAGGTGTAAAAACTGGTTGCAATTTGTATGCATTGAGAACCACTTATTTAACAGAGCGGAATTTGTTTTTTAAATTGTATTTTCATTAAGTTTTCATTTAGTTTATAAGCTTATATTAATGGGATTGGCATATTTTTAAATCCACATAATTATATATAAAAACTTTATATGAATTTTTATTTGCAAATAAGGGAAGGATTTCACATAAATTTTTTTTTCAAAATTAACAATTATTTTTCAATTCTGACCTTTTTGGGCCATTTTTTTTCTTTTTCTGTACTTTTATTAGAAATATGAGATATTAAGTGTTTCGTCATTAAGTAGGGTAAATGTCCCAATTACCGATACATTAGGAAAATTTCAAGTGTCATATAACGCTTTTTTAAATAACTATATTTGACATAAAAAATTGTATTTTTTTAAAATTTTATTTTAATCGCTCCGGATGATTATCCCATAAAAATAATTATTTATAATTTTCATTTTAAAGAATTCTATTAAATATAATTTTTTTTTTTTTGACAAATTTGCATTTTTCGAATTCGCATTTGATAAATTTTTTTTTTAAATGAATTTTTACTCTAAAAAATTTTTTAGTCACCAAATTTTTATTTTGTGGAATTTTTATTTTACTAAATGTTTCTCTTTAAACAACGTTTTATTTAAAATAATTCTAATTTAACTGAATTTTAATTCATCAGAATTCTCATTCAATAAAATTTCAAGTGCTTCGAATTTTTATATGCCAGAATTTACAATTCACTGAATTTTAATTTGTTCAAAATTTTATTTGTACGAATTGTTCTTTCATAGAATTGTTAAAGGGCAAAATTTCTATTTATCCGAAATTGCAAATGGCCAAACAAATAATTGACAGAAAGATTTCGACGCTGTTTTTAAAATTGACCAGTCACCATTTTCTTGATACTGATTGGTCAATTTTAAAAATCGCACCGAATTCTTTCTGTTGACTGTATATATTCGGCCATTTACAATTTCAGACAAATGAAGATTCGTCGTTTTAAGAATTATATCAAATAAGAGTTTGTGCAAATAAAAATTTGAAGAAATGAAGGTTTGGTAAATTAGAAATTTTGCCATTTAAAAATTCATATCACTTGAAATTCTGTTGAATAAGAATTGTTCGAAATTAAAAATTCTGTTAAATTAGAATTGTTTTAAATAAAAAAGTTTGGTAAAAAGAAATTCTATAAAATAAAAATTCTGCCAAATTAAAGTTACCTAAAAATTTTGTTAAGTAAAAATTCGTCTCTAAAAAGAAATTCTGTTAAAAGGCTAAAAATAAAAATTTGTCTAAAAGATAATGTTATCTAATTATGAGAATTACTTTATGATGATTAAATAGCTATTAGGCTACAAAAAAAGGCATCTTTTTTATTATGGGTTATTAAATGACAACAGAGGGCAGGGGGTGTAAAATTTCCTAAAATATATACATCCCGACGACTCCGGAACAAATTTTTTGTATTTTGTGTAATTTTTTGAACATTTAATTGGATTATCTATCATTTTTATTGGTATCATAATTTTTAAGTGTCACACCCCAGAGAAATTTTTCATTTGAAGCCAAATAGAAATGTATTTGAATTGAATAAAAATATAATAATTTTTCTCAAATCTAAATAACTATTTTTTTATATTATCATTATTTTTTTGTTATAATTTGTATTTTTTGAAATTTTGTTCAGAATAATATCCTGAAATTTTTATTAAAATGCAACTTGCATATAAATGTGTCCTTGTTATTTAACCATCACTTAGAAAATTATATTCATAAATCATGCAACAGAGGGTAATTTCACGATTCATGGCACGCCCTCAATGTGAAAAGTCATTCCCCCATATATGACATGAATTCTGTATATTGAATGTGAAAATATTTTTTTTTTATATTAATTTTAGTTTTTTTTTTATCTTTTATTAAATATAAAATTTAGTGAAATAGTTAAAAAAAATTTTTTTGATTCTCAATTTTAATGTCGTGTTGAATAAAAAAAATGGCCCTCAAGTTCTGAACGTTTAAATGAACGAAAAATTTATTTACTAATTTTTTACTTTCAAATTTTATTATAAAATATTGCTTTCTGTATTTAAAAATTTTATAATTTATTAAATGTTTAACTTTTTTATTTTTCGATGCTGTAGTAATTTTTAAAAAATTGATAAACCAAAAAAATTATTTTCTTCATTTGAACGTTCGGTAACTTTAGGCACAATAAAAAAAAGGTTTTTGTTGGATATAATTACCCCGATTGACGGTAGGCTAAACAAGGCGACATAATCGTATTTCTTAAAAAACTCTCTTAAGATTACAAACTCGATAACTCGTATATAGTCTCGAATATAAACGATTACAAGTGAAATTTAATGTATTTGCACGTGACAAACATTGTGTAAATAAAAGTTGTTTGACTATAAACATTTCTCATGAAGCTATCAAGTTTTTTTTTATATCTTGCGACTTGATGAAAGTTTATTGAAAATTGTTTTTGAAAAAAATTTGTTTCTAATAAAAGGACCCCGCATAAAATACATTAAAAATCCTTTTCGGTCAAATTGGTTGAAACTTTTGTGACATAGTGATGTTCAAGTGATTCTAAGCAAAAGCTCTCTGGGTCACAACCTCCCTTTCCGGTCTAGATTAACCGCTAGAAGCTTTTAAAGGTCAAAAGAAGTGAGTTACTTTTTGCAATCGTTATATCTGTAAAATGCAATATTTTCCTTACTTCTTTGTAAAAACAAACTTTTAAGTTCTAAAAATAATACGGCAAAGTACGGTACCGTATTTTACCGTACTGTACATAGAAAAAACCTAATCTCATTTTTGTTGCAACTCTAAATGAGCCAATGCTAAACGACATAGACAGTGGCGCCACAACTCACTTCTTTTGATCTTTAAATAGCTTCTAGCGGGTAATCTAGACCGGAAAGGGGGATTGTGACACAAAGAGCTTTTGCTTAGAATCACATGAACATCACTGTCACGAAGTTTCAACCAATTTGACCGAAAGGGATTTTTAATGTATTTTGTGCGGGGTCCTTTATATTTACAGTGCAACCTCGATTATCCAAACTTTCTTTTGTCTTTCCGAATCTTGAAATTTATTTTTATAATTTTTTTTTATTTTTAAAATGTTATCGTTAAAAATTTCTGTAGTATGAAAAATCGGTTACATGGAAATTATTATATTAAAAAAATAATTCGAAGAAATGAAAATTCATCTGAAAGAAAATTCTATGCAATAAAAATTCTTTAAAATTCCTATTATGTTAAATGAAAATTCAAGTAAATAAAAATTTTGACAAACAAAAATTCGAACAAATAAAAATTCTGTGAAGTGAATTTTCGGTTATATAAAAATTTTATGATGCTGAAGTCCGCAACGTTTTTATAAACAAAAACAAAAAAATAATTAGACAATATCTATTAATTTGGGATAAAATTAAAGTTATTCGGTGGTAACTGATTTTTATAAAAGTATTAATTTCTTGAAAGTTTGTGCAAATCAAAATTAGAGATAAATTGACATGAAAAAAGAATTCTATTTTAAATTTTTCATTTTTGAAAAAGTTGTGGACTTCAGTCTTATAAAATTTTGTAATATAGAAAATCGTTTTGGTGAAAATTCTGTAAAATACTAATTCGAACAAATAAAAATTCGGCTCAAAAATAAATATTTATTTTGGTTATTGCAGAAATATTTTTATAGTCTATTATTTATTTTGTAATTAGAAAATGTGATCCAAATTACAAAACATATGATTAAAAAAAGAGATTAATACCTATAAATATTATTAGAAAAAAAAAAATTTGTCAATTACTATTTTAGTTCCGTTGTTTCATTCTCATTTATTATAATCCGTATGTAGAGCACTGGAGTAAAAAAAGTTCAATTTACACCTTTTTACAATGAAGATATTTATCTCGGTCGATGGTGACTTTTTGAAATTATTTAATGGCTCTAGGAAAGCTATGCTATTGACCTAAATGATTTCTGCACGAGCTTGCAAATGTTTATGAGCACAATTCTTTGAATGTTTTATTTTTTATTACACTCTTTTTCAGTCTAACCGATTGTTCAACCCACTTTTAACAAGTTTGCCCTGTTTAACATATATATTTTCACGACTCCATCATTTGTGGAATTTTCTATTATTATATTGAATTGCATTTATTTCACGGAACAATATATTTATTAATAAATTCCTATCATATAGTTATTATATAGTATAAATGATAAAACTATTAATTAATTCTGAACAATCAATCGTATGGATTTTTAAAAATTTTAATATTTTCAACAAAAAAAAAAAAAAATTTCTAAAATGATCAAAAAAATTTTTTGTTTAATTTTCATAATTCACAATAATTTTAGATTCCAAATAATGCCAGAAAAAAAATTGACACCCCTTAACAATATTAATTTCGATGAGTTGAAATTTCACCGGTCCTTCCCTTAATTTTGAAAAAAGGGGTAAAAATTTTTTGTGTTTTTGAAAAAAATTTTTTCTTTTATATTAAAACGAATGATCTCTTAAAGTACAATTTTAAATGCTGTGTGGGATGCAGATTATGAATAGAATATTGTGCGAAAATTAGTAGAGTCACTGTCATTATAATTTTAAGAAAATTTTATTATTTTTTTTTTATTTTTATTTGAAAACTTCTGAAATCGGCATTTGAAATTAATCTAAATTAATCAATACTAAATTGAAATTAAATTTTAATCTCATAATGAAACTGACTTACCACTTGTAGCCATCGACGTTGAACAATATAATATTACTAATGCGATTTATTAATATGATAAATAGAAAGTGCGAAAGACCTACTTAACTTAACCCGGTTAACATAAAAAATAGTATAATTTAGTAATTTAATCATATAAATTGTCAATAGTCTTCAAAAAAATAATACAAAATTTTAACAAAGAATTTTATTTCTATGACAATGCATTCCCTCAAAAACATTGATTTACGTCTCCGAATTCATAATAGATGCACTACACTGTTCGTGTCTGTAATGTCTTGTACAAAAGCAAAGTTTTTTTTTTTTTTTTTTTTTTTTTAATACAACACACAATAATATATTCACAAATCTTCAACAAAATTAAATTTTTAGACACAGATTTTTTGAACACAAAAATATGGAGTTATGTACATATTTTTCCGCAATTTTAATTTATAAATCAGGGGACTTTTGTAAAAAAAAAAAAGAGAGAAAAGTGTAGTACGTGCCACACAGGCTGCGTGGCTAGAATAAATTTTCTTTCACAACGTAGTCTACAATTCCCTCCAGGTATAATAGTGAACAGACACACCTGCCCCCCTCTTAAATATAAGAACCCCTATTTACTTTTTTGGAATATTTTAACCTTCCCCAAGGAACATTGTACGCGAAACTATATATATGTATATGTACTTGAAAAAATTTAGTTTAAATTGACGTCATTTTTTATCTTGAACTGAAGATATAAATAATTTTTCATAAGTTCAATGGAGTTATCGCTTAATAGTAATAATTTTATTCAAAAACTTTATATATTTAGAAGAAATAATTAATAGCAATAAATATTTGTTTAATTTGTAAAAAATACTTGAATATTTTCTAAATGAATAATATCAAAAAAATTTCTTGTTCTACACTGAGAAAAATATTTAGTCAAAGTAACCAAAATTTGGTTTGGCCAACAAAAAATTTTTGTTTGTATTTAAGCCACCAAACTATTTGTTTGTGTTAATCAAAAAATTTGGTTGAGTTTTTTTTGTTAGATCAACAAAAATGTTTTGTTGATAAAAAAGCCAATAGTTTTTTTTTTTTTGGGAAAATTAAAATTTTTATTCATACCTTATTTCTTTTCATTTTTAATTTATTTTATTATCAATTTAATGTTTAATTTATATTTATCCAATTGAAATATTTGTGGACTTTGAAAAATCTCATCACCACCATGACAAAATTTCGGCGAAATTTGGACTAAATTCTATAACTTTAAATTTTTGACTCGAATATTTTAGGAATTTTCCTCCATACACATTTATTTAATCAAAAATATTTTTTAAAAAAAATTTTGCTTTAAACACGCATGGAAAAAAAATCTTTATCTGGAACAGCGATATGTTTCTCTAGAATAACGAAAACTTTCGCTGTTTTAGACAGCATATCGCTGTTTTAGTGAAAATCGCTGCTCCATTTGAAGATTTTTTTTCCGTGCGTACAATCTTAAATGATAATAATAATAATAATTTAAATTATTATTCTTATTTTATTTATAATTTTAAAATCATAAAATACTAAACTTGGAGCATTTTACAATATTGAAAAGCTTTTTGTAAAAGTATAATGATGAATTGTCCATTCTCCTTATTCCCGCATCAATTCAATGAAATCATTGAACTTATTTTTATCTGCAGTATTCATACAAATTCAAACAAGGTTTTATATATATATATATATATATAGGAATTATTGTGTAGAATGTAAAGAATACCATAAGATGAAACGCACAAAGCACATGAACTTATAGTCAACGACCCTAAGAGCAAGGGCGTAGACTTGCAGTATTCCATATATTATTAATGAAAAATATAACATTAGATAAACATAAAAAAAAAATTTACATAAATAAAAGAAATAAAAATCTCAGCAGAAAATATTTTTTCATCATTTTTAATAAAATTAATTATATAAAAAAAATTATAGATTTCTTTTTTTTTGTATTTTCTCTTCGATAATGATTAAAAAATATAATTATTTTTTCTTATTTGTTATTAACTCTATTTTTAAATAAAATAAAATTACTATTCTTTTTTAGAAAAACAAATGAACTTGTAAAAAAAAAAAAAAAAACTGAAAAGAAGACAAAGAAGAAACGTAGAGATAAAAATGGTATTTTCTATAAACCTATAATTTTAGCTAATCATAAAATCAGTGCGTGGTATTCTGTTTACAATGCAAGATCATATCTCAATCGAAAAATCGATTCGAGTGCACTGGCCTTGTCAAACAATATGCATTACAAAATGCATAAATATAGATATATACACATGTATTTTATTATGGTATACATAAACACGTGACAAAAATAGAGCAAAGGAATTTTTAAATTTTTCAAAAAAATTACTACAAATTTTAACTTCGATTTTAATTTCACAAAAATTTTAATAGAGAGTTATAAAAAAATTTAATTTTTTTTTAATGAAATCGTAAATATAAGTATTTTAAAATATATTAGCGTTGAAATTTTTTTTTTTTAATTAAATTATGTATTAAAAATTAATTTGAAGTTAAAAAATATTTGAAAATATAAATGCCAGAAGAAAACGATTTTTATTGGTTCATTTGACCATGACGTCACATCGATACATTGTCGCGTATCGTCTGCTGTGTTTACTTGATTCACAATTAAATAAAGCTTTGATAACATATTCTAACCCACATAGCACGGTTTCTTGCTATGATGTTACTGTAAGGATATCTGTAGGGTTTGTAAGGTTACCGTGTAAGCCTACAGTAAACTTGAGGTTAACTTAAAACTTCCGCCTTACAGTAAGCTTACACAGTAAGGTCGTGGTAAGTTTACATGGTAAGGTTGTGGTAAGCTCACATGGTAAGGTTGTTGTAAGCTTCCTTTAAGGTTGCTGTAAGGTTGATGTAAGGTTACTGTAATATGAAAATATATTAAAAATAATTATATTATAATATATATTATTATTATAAATTTTTTTTTATAGAAAATTATATATTTGGTAAAGTACATCATGAACCCCAATAAGGTTTGTTAAATAAAATTTACTGCGCAGCCGTATGTGCCATAGAAAACTACTGCGCATAAATATTAATAAAATTATTTATTAATAACATTCTATATTTACAGTAACCTTACATCAACCTTACATCAACCTTACAGTAACCTTAAAGGAACCTACAACAACCTTACCGTGTAAGCTTACCACAACCTTACCATGTAAACTTACCACGACCTTACTGTGTAAGCTTACTGTAAGGCGGAAGTTTTAAGTTAACCTCAAGTTTACTGTAGGCTTACACGGTAACCTTACAAACCCTACAGATATCCTTACAGTAACATGACAGCAAGAAACCGTGCTATGTGGGAAATCATTTAATTTTTAATGTTATGAAAATTAAATAATTGTTTCCTAAATTATTTCTGTGATAATAAGTGAAGTGCCTTGTAAATTGGAGCCAGGATTAAAAAAAAGATAAGTTTTTCATGTCAATTTCTTAATTTTAAGGTTATGTTCACAACTTTATTTAATTTTTTTTTGCATTTGTGATGTTTCTTTGCATTTACATGTCACCATGGCAACGCATGAGAATGAGTGAGACAGAAAATTTAAAAATTTGAATATTCAAATTTTCTGTCTCACTCACACTCGTACGTTACCATGGTAACCTGCAGGCAGGCAGCCAAAAAGGTGTGAGTGCGCCATTATTTGTATACCTATTTGACGTCACGATACCGTCGATAGTATTCGGGTCTTTTCGGAACGTTTTCGGTATTTCAAAATTATTTAAAACGTTTTTATTTAATTTAATGTTTATTTTTCATTAAAAAATTATAAGAAAACAAATTTTTTATATAAATCAGACCCAATCTACCCATTAAAATTAATAAAAAAATTTTAATGAAAATTCCCTATTTATTTAGTTTATTATGTACGTATTTGAATAAAAACTATAAAGTACACAAAGCTGAAAAGAAAATCAAAAGAGATGAAAAAAAGCAAAAAGGAAGTAAAAATTCCCTGAGGAGAAGATGAAGTTAGTTCTGGGTATAAGATTATAATAGTTATATGGATGGAGAAGAGGAAAATGGGGAACAAATTTTAATTGCACGCATCAAGGAAAGTATAAAACAATCGAGGGTACGGTCCCTTTGTCTTTAATGAGTCCATAATGCATGAAGCAATGCTTGCAGAAAATTCATTGACCCTCACAATTATTATTTTACTTGCCAACTGGCAAAAAAAAAAAAAAAAGTTTCAACACCTTGTGCGCAAGTATGAATTGAAAAAAATTCGCATTAATGCAAAATTTAAAAAAAAGAAAAATAAACAATAAATTATTTTTACAAATACATATAATTTATTGTTTATTTTTCGTTTTTTTTTTAATTTTTCATTAATACAAATTATTGCATACATATCTTTATGAATTTCCTGTTTCGTTTGATGTCTAAAATATATATATGTTCATTATTACACGAAGCTGAAGTACGCAACGTTTATGATAAATGATTTTTTAAAATGAAAAATAATAATAATAATTTATTATATTATTGTTTAATTAATTATTTACACGCATTTATTTCTAATTTTACACCCAGAGAAAAATTTCTTTGATTTAAAGAAACCAATTTCTCTGACTTGTTTTTTTTCATTCAAAATAATAAAGTTTTCTTTGAAACAAAAAAAGCATCTTATTTTCAATGAAATTATAAAATAAAATATTCTTTTTGAATGAAAGAAATTTGTGCATTAAATAAAAGAAATTTGTAACATTGATATAGGGTCAAAAAAACATTTATTTGAATTAAATAAAAAAATTTTTTTGAAATGATGATAATTTTTTTTTTTGGAATCAAAGATAATTTGTTTGAAACAAATAAATTTTCTTTGAATCAAAGAAATCTTTTTTCTGGGTGATATAAAGAAAGAAAAGAAACTTTTGACAAAAATGCAACATAAATTAAGATAATGTGATTGTTTTGATTTCAAATGTAGTTATTTGAAAAATTTCATTAAAAAAACAATTTTTGATTTTACCTAATTGATTAGAAACTTTTATCAAGGTAAAATTATCCCTAAACATAACCTAAAATTTCTTTACCATAAGGTCCCTTTTCTCGTGTAGAGCGTCTTTGTAGAAATTATTATACTAAAATTATTTCTTTTCTATATTAAATTTTTCTCTAAAATATGGAATTGTTTAAAAATAAATTTTTTGACAATTAATTAATTAATATCAATGAATAAATGAAATGAAATATTTTCACATACATGTAAAATCACAACAATCACAAAACCTTAATAT